ACCTCCGATATCTCGGAGATTAAGGCCCTTGAGTGCTGTTTGTCCCAACAACAAAGTGGTAAACAAGAACTCCCGCAAGCTCCGAAGGAGCTTTCGTGATCACCAGCGCTTCGAGAGAACTTCGAGCTGACGGCCTCAAGTCCCTCAAGTCCCTCAAGGGCAAAAAAGGGCAATTTACACTGATGGGGGGGGGGGGGGGGGCGCCGCGCCTCTCTCTTGCGAATGGTGCTGATGGAGGCTCGTCTTCCAAGCCTCGGAGCTGCGAAACGAAAAGGACTGGGGATTTGGTCATTGGGGTCGAAAGAAGCAGCGAAAGTCAGCGAAAGCAGCTGAAGAGATCAAAAAACGGTGATGCGTTCCATTCCATCTTCCTTGCTTTGTCGCGTATTCCGTTTTCTGGAATTTTGCTAGACCATGAAGGCAGTCAGGGTCGACCCAAAACGGAGACTCGCCTTCAAAGCGATGTTGCCTTCGGTGCAGCTTTGGACTATGCGCGCCAAATCTGCTAAAGACTGCGCTCACAGGGGTTGCTTCTTACAACTTCTCACCCCTCTTGCCATCGTTCCATATACGCCACACGTGCAAAGGTAGAGTGGCGATGCTCAAGTCACTCACGAGGACTCAGCGCCTCAGCGCTCAGAGAGCTCAGCTAGGCATGTTGCTGCAATGGAAGACTGCTCCGGTCAGGCCACGTGGCATGCGCATGCGAGTATGGTGGGCCATGATGGGCCTACTGGGCTATGTCGGCTATGTGTGTTGAAAGGGCGAATCTTGCGTGTCGCTGCATCTGGGGCCTCGGCAAGCACCTCTTCAAGACGGATGCCGCCCAGACTCCGCCACCTCACAAGGCCCCACAGACCCACAGAGGCTCAAGGGCGAGCAGGATCGAGCGGGTAAATTTCAGAACATGGGCCTGCAGATCACGTCATGCTACACTCGTGCTGACGCATATTGCTGCATGGCCGGACACATGGCTCGCACTTCGCACGGCTACACGGCTACAAGGTTTCGCAAGGCAGTGACATGCATTTCTTGGCAGATCTCACGTACTCGCAACTCTACAGTTGGCCCATGCGGGATGTGCGGGCCCGCGGCCAAAGCGGAGCAGCAGGGGAGCCTTTAAGGACAATCCGCACAGATCCGCACAGATCCGCACATATTGTAGTTTAAACTATTCGTGGCTAATTCTCGACATCAAACATTGTAACATGCACTGCTCCGAGGCCGCCTTAAGTGTGCCGTTTTTGGGTATGCAGACTCAATCGAACTCGTTTCCACGCCTACAGTCCGTCCAACATCATACTGAATGCAACGGTATGTCTCCCCGTATTGAGCTACTCAGAAGGACCAAGACGTAGCCTAAACTCGGCCCTAACGCCTGAACACTGCTACACCCCTTCGTTGCAGAACGCTTCTGCCTATTCCAGTTGCCTCCTTGTCGTATCTTCTCTTCTCTTCATATCTCATGTCTTCTCGTCTCTGCTCTTCATCTCTCTTCTCTCTTCTTCCGACGAAAAGTTTGGGCTGCTGAGTCAGCCTTGTGAAAGTAGCACGATCTCCAGTCTGGTACTATCCCCTTGGCACAAAACATATTCAGTACCCAACTGATTTCTAGAACGCTTCAGAACATTTACAGCATTGAGTTTCGTAAACCAGCAGCAACCGGAACTGGAACGAGACCCGAACAACGCTGAGCTGAGCTGTCCCTGTCTTCCCACTCTATGGTGGTGGGCCGAAGAACTCCGTGGGCGGTGTGGAAGCGCCGCCGCGGAGGTGCCGAGGCCGGGAGCCGCGGCGCTCTTCGCAAGGACGACGGCACGGACGGAACGGACGGCCCCAACAAGACCTCGTGTCCCGGCTCCATGGCGGCCTTTCTCTAGCGTCTCTCGCTCTCTGTAGAAGGTTTAGCTTACCAGTCCATTGGTTGAAACTACTGCCGATGTAGCTAACTTGTAACACAAGGATGTAAAGAAGTAAACCAACAAAGTCGCAAAAAACACATGTGCATGTAGATTCGTGAATAGTTGAGAAACTAAAACATTTAGATGCGTGAATGACAAGGATAAAAAGCTTGGCGGCTTGGCACGGCGAGCATGCCATCTAATCAAGACAATGGCATTTGCGTTTGGGAAGCCTTAGGGGGTCACCCAATGCATGGGCTGCGGGTGTGCTGCGGGTGTGCTCAGCCCGCGATCTCCGAGGCTCCTTCGAAAGCCTGGCACTGTCGCCTTTCTGTGATCTCTTCAACTTCTCGAACCCTCTCTCGGCCTATTCGGGGCCTCTCACAAACCCAAGGAAATGCCACAAAGACTGGGCCGAGGTCTGTTTTTGCACCCACGACCCCCCCCCCCCCCCCCTTCCCTTTTCCAACCCGCCTCCGGAAAACATGCAAGATCAATGTAGTACTTGCATGTACTTGCGGGGTTTTGTCGCTTATGGGTTCCCCCTCTCGGCCTATCGCTTTGCAGGCGGGCTTTGCTGACCCGCCTTGGTGCACCGATTACAAGAGGGACCGAAGATAAACTGCGATGTGGAACTGTGATGTGGAGACTATCCGATCCCCTCACCTTCATCTCAGAATTGTATTTCGGAAAACATACGTGGCTGACATTGGCCGGAGAGTCTGCGCCACCTGTAACTCCTCAGCATGACATGGCTACCATGTCGCAGCAGGCCTTTCGCAGCGCCCTCCGCCAAGTGTAAGCTGCCAAATCCTGCTGCACCATTGCGTGCACCACCGTCAGTGCCAAGCAGGTGACATACTTGCACCCTCAGTAGACCGCAAACTGGATGATGCGCGACTTTTCCACGCCCCACCCAGGCTCAGGGAATCAGCGACCCTTCTCGCATCTTCTCGCCATGCGTGGTATGTGGCACCGCTAATGCACCGTGAGAGGTTGGGACCCCCTCCTCCCCAAACACTCCAATCCCCTCCCGGTATGAGGCCTTGCCCCTGACCGGCCCTCACCCCTTCGCCACAGCCACAGGCTCCCGAGGCGGCGCGTGCAGCTGGTGAGGCGTTTGCAAATAAGGAAGCCGCCAACATGCTGCTGGTGACGTAGAGCTGCTCACGCTGCTACCGTTGCCCTTCAAGTTGCAAGTCTGAGATGTGTACGGGAAATTCGCCTCGGCTTCCTGTCGAGAAGCGTCTGGAAGAAGCAGACCGGGATCCGGTCTCCTTCACCCTTATGCCGAATTTTGTGAACCAGACTTGGAGCAGCTGCAAACCGAGGGAGGGAGCCACCCCCAACCCCCACCCCCCGATGCATTGGACCCCTCAAACCTTCGTAAAGATTCTCCCCCCAAGCGAATTTGGTGCCTTCTCCTTCCCCCAACCAACCCTTCCCACGAGGACGCCCCTGTGGGACCTCCACATACTGCATGCTCTGAGCCGGCCCGGCTGCCGAGGCGGCGCGCGCAAGCGTCTACAAGTATGTTCACATGTCAAGCATATACGTCGAGCTCTTGGATTCTCTTATTGGCGCCAAGGGCGCAGCAGGCTACCAGGTGTTCGAGACCACGGCAATGATGCCGCCTGCTGTACAGTGCTCAGGACTAGCTGCTCACGTCACCATTGACAACCGACCCAGGGCACTGGAGTTCACGGAGGGAAGCTGCGGGGTGCTCCCTTTAGCTCGGTTCAACCTTTCGAGGCTGTTCCTCTTCAAGGCTCGTCTTGGAAGAGCGTGCTGGGCTCTTGTCCCCGAAATCCACTAACTCCGTCTCCGACTCGCCACTCTCGCCCTCCAAGTGTGGAACCTCTACCTCGTCCACCGGCGCAGCCCCTCCCTCCACGTCTGCACTGTCGGCCTTGTCTACATCCATGTCGCCCGCCTCTGCGGCCGCCACAGCAGCCGCGGCCTCCGCAACCTCCTCCGGCGAGGCCCCTGACGAAGCTGCTGAAGCCTGCTCAGGCGAGGCTACCGGCGAGGCTGCCGGCGAGGAAGCTGGTGTGGCCGGTGTTGCTGCGGGCTGCGCGCCCTTGGGTTGCTCCACCAATTCCGCCGTCTCCTCATCACTCTCGCCCTCCAGGTGTGGAGCCCCTGCCTCGTCCACCGGCGCAGCCCCTCCCGCCACGTCTGCGCTGTCGGCCTCGTCTACATCCATGTCGCCCGCCTCTGCGGCCGCCACAGCAGCCGCGGCCTCCGCAACCTCCTCCGGCGAGGCCCCTGACGAAGCTGCTGAAGCCTGCTCAGGCGAGGCTGCCGGCGAGGAAGCTGGTGTGGCCGGTGTTGCTGCGGGCTGCGCGCCCTTGGGTTGCTCCACCAATTCCGCCGTCTCCTCATCACTCTCGCCCTCCAGGTGTGGAGCCTCTGCCTCGTCCACCGGCGCAGCCCCTCCCGCCACGTCTGCGCTGTCGGCCTCGTCTACATCCATGTCGCCCGCCTCTGCGGCCGCCACAGCAGCCGCGGCCTCCGCAACCTCCTCCGGCGAGGCCCCTGACGAAGCTGCTGAAGCCTGCTCAGGCGAGGCTGCCGGCGAGGAAGCTGGTGTGGCCGGTGTTGCTGCGGGCTGCGCGCCCTTGGGTTGCTCCACCAATTCCGCCGTCTCCTCATCACTCTCGCCCTCCAGGTGTGGAGCCTCTGCCTCGTCCACCGGCGCAGCCCCTCCCGCCACGTCTGCGCTGTCGGCCTCGTCTACATCCATGTCGCCCGCCTCTGCGGCCGCCACAGCAGCCGCGGCCTCCGCAACCTCCTCCGGCGAGGCCCCTGACGAAGCTGAAGCCTGCTCAGGCGAGGCTACCGGCGAGGCCGCCTCCACACCCTTCCTCTGCGGCGTCCACCCCATCATCCACTCCGATCCAGGCGCGAAGGTGATGGAGGTAACGGAGGGGAGTTCCTGAGAGTTTCGACAGTCTCGAACAAAGTGGACATCCTCGGCGCCATCATACGCCAGCTCTGGGGCCCCTGCCTGTTGAAGCAGCACTGCTGGAGGGAGTGTCCTCGGTTTTGGCAGTTTTGGGGGAAGGATATGACGGAGTATTTTCATGCAGCGCTGTCCTCTGCAACAGGAAGGCATTGTCGCAAGACGCTTCCTCGCAGAGGCCAAAGGCATGACAAGTCGCATGACAATATCAGGGCAACAGGGATCCAGAGCCATCCCTTCGGCCTCCTGGGGCACAGCAGGCACTTCCTTGGATCGGGGCCGCAGCTTGTAATGAGATGCCACAAGATATCTCACCTGCTCTCAGGCCACGGCACTGAGCAAGAGCCAAACGAGCCAAAGGACAGAGTTCGCTCTGCACATACCCAATAGTTCGCTCCCGCTCAAGGTTCAGTGTGCTCAAAAACTTAAAACTTTGGGCCCAAAAGCGAGAAAAGACTGCTGACGCGAACATCCCAAGCGCAGTTTGGGCTTGTGAAGGGGCGGAACCGATGAATTCAAGGGTTGGCGGGAGAAACCATTGTGAGAAACCCTTATTTGTGAAAGCTTATATATGCATTTTATATGCATCATATATGCATTATATATGCATTATATGTTGTATCTAGCGAGTCTGCAGCTCCAACTTATGTAAATATTTATTTGTTCATTAGTTTGTGTATTTATTCTTTTTCTTTTTGCATTTATCTTTATTTATATTCCGACGTTTTAATGGTAGAACTGTAATTTTAAATGTTATAATTATTTTGCTCTGCGTCCATTTATACGCAACTCATATTGAAGGCTTGGGAGCTCTGATTCGCGGCGCTGGCGGGGCCGGGGGGGGAGGTTGGAAATGGCGCATTCTCCTCTGCCGGGAGGGGGGTTGGAAATAAGGGTTTCTGCTCCCGACAGGGGGGTTGGAAATAAGGGTTTCTGCTCCCGCTCGAGGAGTGGGGCGTCTGGAGTAGAAACCCCTAATTTCACATAGGGCAAATACCCCTAATTTCGCAGGGGTCCGGAAACAAGGGTTTTCCGGAACGCACTAAGGAGTTTTGTGGCTCCGTGTCTTGTGGGGCTTCGGCCTTGCATTTCACGAACAGACTCCTTGCTGCAGTCCTAAAGCTCTCCGGCGCGGGCGAACTCTGCGATGTACATCACAAGACTTTGGGACTAGACGAGACTGCTGCGCCTGTCCTACCGGGAACAAGTAGAAACCCTTAAGCCCCACAAAATACATAATGCCCTATATGTTAGGGTAGGATTAGGGGTTCCTAACAGGGTTTCCTCCCATTTTCTCTTGAGGAATGGAAGCAACTATGGCGGCCATAGCCAGTGGCTTTTCTTGCGAGGAATCGTGGCTTTCAGGATTTCGAATGCCAACAACTCGGCCTCGTATGGCCGAACCTATGGCCGTGACCAGCAGTACCGCCCAGTCCGTCCGTTCATTCTTCTGTCCTGCGTGCAACGGTATGCCTCGCCGACAGCCTATGCTCGGCTTTCCTTCTTCCTTCTTCCGGCCACTAGATGAAGGGCAGCGACCCGTTGGCACAAAGTTCTTCAGTACCTAACTGGGATACATATATATGTATAGAACGCTTAAGAAAACATTTCCATCATTGAGTTCCATGAACCGGAGTTGCTAAAGACCCGAACAACGCTAAACAACGCTGAGCCGTCCCTGTCTTTTGTCCCCAGTGGGCCGCGGAATGCCACCGGAGGTGGCACCGGGCTCTCCGCGAGGGGACGCGATGGACGGCAGACCTCGTGTCCCGGTATATGTCCCGGTCCATGGCGGCCTTTCTCTTAATCGTCTCTCACTGTCTCTGTAGAATAGTCAGCGGCGTCAAATGCTGGCCCACCCAAAGTAGAATATCCATCTCAACTGTGGCCGCGCGGTAGCCGCTGGCCATGCCAGTCCATCTGTGGCAAACACTGCCGATGTGGCCAACTTTTCACACAAGCATGCATAAAGTAAACCACGCAACATCTTCACCACAAAGGAACTCGCTCTGCAAAGTTTGAAAAAAAGGTCAGAAACAGAGGGCGATGCCCGAAAGAAAACATGCTCGCGCGGGATCTCCGAGGGTATGTCAAACCATTTCAAGCGACCTTTCTGACTTCTTGCTGCGCTCTCAAATCTCTCTCGCGGCCTATTCGGCCGTTGCTGGAAACGGAAAAAGGGTGATCCACCGGATCACTTTTTGAAACGAGATTCAAAGCAGATTCAGGGTATTCAGTGGAGCTTTTCCTGTGCACCCCTCGAGTTAAACCGGGTGTAGCCAGCAACGTGGCCATCTTCAATCACTCCTGCGACACTCGCACGTGCGACTCACAAAGAACAAAGACTCTCGAATCCTCTCGCGGCAAAGACGTCTCAGCCGCGCCTCGAGGCAAGCCAATGAGGCCTCGCCACCTGGGAAACTTTGTCTCGAACTTTGTCAGCAGGGTTGGACTCGGACAACGGAGACGAACATGAGGTCGCAGGTCTACTATGTCATACTATATGGCTATGATCTACTATTTTCTGCTGTTTTGTATCCCCCTCCCACCCCATCCCCCATCCCCCACACATTCGGCCATTGCCTAGGGAGGGCGAGGGCGAGGAAGCCGGCAGCACCGGCCGTGGTCAGCGCCATCTGCAGCACGCCCCATGTCCAGCCCCAGTCCCCGGCCTCAGGAAGCAACAGCAAGAAGCAAGCTCTCCCACTCTCTCTCTCTCTTTCTCGGTGAAAGGCGTGTGTGAGTGTAAAAGTGAAAGAGAGAGGGAGAGAGGGAGACAGAGAGAGAGAGAGAGAGAGACAGAGAGGGAGCTTACTTACAGCTCACAGCTCGTTGGCACCGTTCTGTGTCACAGCTTGGCTCCTGACTATCCGCAGCAGCACCATGTGTGCCTCGGGGCGAACTCTCCTTGAGCCATGCCTTTGGCCAGGCCTAGTTGTGCTTTGGATCCACTGAGCTGGAGGCGGGCATCATGCTGCTGAAGGAAGTCATCCTGCCAAGGCTCTGTCAGATACAGCACAAGCAACTCATATTGTGGCATCCAAACTTCTCCCCGTGCTGTTGCGGAGCCCTGGCTCTAAGCCCTACTCCTCACAGAAACGAATTCGTACAGCCCCCAAGGTAAATCTGATTCGTGACGCAGGGCGCGCCCGGCTTGATAACATCCTACAGCGGGACATGGCTTCTTCGAAGCAAATCTGGGGGCGTGGCTCAAAGAAACCGATGAGTGTGGCACACTCCGTCCCCATAAGGTCAAAGGCAAAGAGGTTGGGAACCAAGTAATACGGCACGGCCTCAGGTATCCCTCACTGATCTGGGAGAAAGCTCTGCTTTGCTCTGCAGGTTCCCGGCGCAGCAGAAGGCCACGAAGAACCTGGGCTGACGCGATAGGGTGCAGGCATGTGCAGGCATGTGCAGGCACACACAACGTACTTTTACCACTGCGACCTCCAGTAGTGGGCATTTCAAGGCCAAACTTGCCCACATGAAGAAGGGTTTATGTTTCTTGCACCCCCACAACGACACCCAAGGTACACACTCCCCAACATAAAAAAGGAACCTTGTATACACTCACCAAAAACAGTAATATAACCCCTGCTTCAACATCACTTAAGTTCTGGATGAGCTTGGCCCCGCGACAGCAACACGGCCGCGATGATCGTGCGATCGATGGATTCGTCGGCTTCGCCTGCCTGCATTTTGGGGCACAGGCAAATCAGGCAAAGCCAGAGCAGCTTAGAGAGAGGAAACAGCTGGAACCCCGCATCGCTCGTGAAAGCCAAGGGGCCGGGATGAAGAGCAGCAGCGTGAGCAGGGAAGCCGCCAACACGCTGCTGGTGACGTAGAGCTGCTCACGCTGCCGCCGTTGCCTTGCATCGCACGTCTTGGCCGTCTTCGCATGTATTGAATGTATTGGTGTGTATTCGAGTGAAAAATCAGGGGGGCGTCTTCCTCCCTCTCTTTCGTGCAAGATGGGTGCAGGAGGTTGCCCTTCCAGGTGTTCAAGACCATGGCCGTGATGCCGCCTCCTCTGCAGGGGCACTTCAACAGCGAGATGCTCCGTTGCTGCACATACTCCCATGCTGCAGCCGGCTGCAGCAAGGGGAATGCGCCTGGGTACACGCAGCTCCAGATCGTGGCGTTCTTGGACTTCGTGAGGCCCTGGAAGAGGAGGGGCATGAAGTCGTCGGCGTGCTGGACGTGGCAGAGACACGAGAAGGCGGCCGTGACCAGCCACACCGAAGGCTCCTGTAGCTACACTGTAGGAGAAGGGGAGAGCCAAGGAGAGGGGCTTCTCATTTTACAAAAAAAGCAACACTAGCAAAGAAGAAGCACAAGAGAGCAAGAAAGCAACAACAACAAAATTAAAAAGAGGGGATCTCAGCTTCTTTGTTTGCTTTTTCTTTCTATCCCTCCCTTACTCTCCGTGATCAGCTGTTGTTTGCTCTTTCTTCGCCTCGCGCCTGCAGCAAGTCTCGGAGCCCTCGCACCGGCTTCGGCACCGCCGAGGGCGCCTCGGAGTTTAAGAGAGAGAACGCCCAAAGAAGGGGGGGGGGGGGGCGGGGAAGAGGCGGGGGTTAACAAAAAGAGAGAGTGGCGAGAAATACAAAAGGGAAGAAAGAAGGGAAGAGAGTTGAGTTGAGGAGAGGAGAGTTGAGGAGAGGAGTTGAGGAGAGCGGAGAGGAGTTGAAGAGGAGCCTCCTTTTGCCGAGCGACTTTCTTCGCAGCCGAAGCCACCAGCCCTTGTATCAGTAGCACCGCAATGCCTTCAAACGAAGAGCGAAGAGCACAAGGCGCGCCCAGAGCTGAGAGACCTCTGAGAGACCTCTGAGTGAACATCTGAGTGAACATCACCGCGAGAAGCCTCCAACGATGAGAAGCACTCGGGCAGCCTTCCCAAAGCAACTCGAGTTTCGCAAGTGCTGGCGTGCTGGCGAAAGCACCGCGCGGATCTGCACACAGGCAACACAGTCATAACGTGCCGCCTGCCAGGCGATCTGCCTCCATGTGAAACTCTGCAGCAGCACCTGATGCCGCCACGGATGGGCCAGCACCAGCGTCAGCACCCCAGCAGAGCAACGAAGACAAACGGCCCCCTAGGAAGGTTAGGTGGAACGCCGGACGCGTGTCCTGTGGAGTTCCCCCTTAGCATGACCGATTCGGAACGCTGCGGAACGCCACGTGGAACGCCATGTGGAAAGCCGCCGGGACACACGTCCTGTGGAGTTCCCCCTTAGCTAGCTTGACGGATTCGGAACGCCGCGGAACGCCACGTGGAACGCCCAAGGACGCGCGTCCCGTGGAGTTCCCCCTTAGCTTGGCGGATTCGGAACGCCGCGGAACGCAGTGCGTGACCAGCGTTTCTGTGCCTTCTTTGCACGTTGCTGCTTTGCCGCTGCTTGCCGATTGTGGAACAACTTCTCCCCAGATCTCTGACCGCCAAGTCGAGGGAAAGGCGATTAGCAAAAAGACTCAGACATACGCTGCACCAGCAAACATGGAAGCAAATCAGAAAGAGCAGAGCCTGAAAGAAGAAGCGACAGCCTTCAAGAGGAAAAGAAACACCTCACTGATGCATGTACTTCTATGTATTCTTTTGCGATTCCATGTTCTTTGACCTGTTCTGCTTCGGGCGATGGTCTCCAAGGCCTTAAAGCCTTGAAGGGCTCTGGCTCAAACGGCTGCTTTGCTCATCATTGCTAACATTTGCTAACTGCTTTGAATCTTTGAACTTTGGGCCCCGCGCTCCGAAGAGGCTGCGGCCGAGGATGGCGCCGCCGCGCGAGGCGAAGCCCAGGGCCGACACCGCTAAGCCCTCGAGAAGAGGCCGAGAGGAAGCTCGATTTGCAGCCCAGTGTGAGGGGGGGCTGCTTATGTATGTACATATATATACATAAAGGGCTTTGATGGGGTGTTCTTTAGTTCTAACAGAACGTAGAGAACGTAGAATCGAGGGGAACAAGAGAAGAGCCGCCGAATGAGTATATGATGGGGAAGTCTGCAGTTAAGAGAGCAAAGAGGAGGAGTGAGCCGAGTGCCCTCTCCTGGAACTCCTCCGGCACAAGCAGCTTCAGTGCCTTCAGAGAGCACCAAATTGACGACATGTAATGACGCGTGCCGCATGCATGTATTGCAGGAAGGTCCTATCAAATTAGGTGAAGTTTTGAGGAAGTCTCCGCCTTCATTTCTGAAGGCCACCCTGCGGCGTAGCTAAAGCGAATCAAGACGGCACCCGTCACGAAGGCACCCTGCGCTCACCGAAAGAGAGCATGTTGAGTGCACATGTTGGGCACTGATTCGTGCAAAACTTGATCCATCCTGCAAGCCCAGTGCATTCCTATGTGCTGCCACTGCTGGCCCCACTTCCTTCTTGGCTTTCCGCTGGGGTCCTGTGTCCGAGCTGTGGCGATCAAAGCCGCGCCCAAACTGCAGCCTGGCCATCCCAACTGAGCCCCTCAATACTCAGCCGTGAGAGCACACACTTCAACACTTCTCTGACTTCTCTGCGGCCTCCCAAGGCAGTACTCAGTCCAAAAACGACGCCGAAACCTGAGAAAGCCCAGCGCCGCGGGATGCACTTCAAGAGCTCCCAGGAAAATATTGTTGGAAGCTCCCATTTTGAGAACATTCCACAACTGGGGCTCAAAACCTTAAGCCTTAAGGGAGCTCGTCAGAAGTCAGAACCCAAGCTTTCGTGCTCTCGCCCTGTACAATCACGGCACTCTCGCTCGCTACTAGCTCCTGTGCGCCTTGTGGGCAAGCGCGGATACTTTCTCGTACTAATCTTGGTTTGCATGTGCGTCCGCTGTGTAACAGGGTATGTACGCTTTCTTATGTCAAGAAAAGGTGCGGGAGATGCACTTTTGGACATCGGTCTCGCTAAGCGAAGAGTGCTCTGAAAAGTTTGTGTTTGTTGTCGCCAGGCTTTTGGGCCTTTGGGCCTTGGGGCCTGCAAGGTCCTTTGCTGCAGGGTTCCAGTGAAGTGCTTGCGGAACTCTGCCGTAGCTTGTCGGGTCCAAACGTTGTGCTCTTTCGCCCAAAGTCCCGTTGATCCGAGGGAGACGGTGAGAGGGGAGCCCGCGGGCATGAAAGGTGGCGAGGGCCCTTGTGACATCTCAGGGGCTCCGGCGATCGATCATCGGACCGTGGACTCCATAGCCCACTGCGGCAGCCAGGGCCGCGAGCCCGAGGACGACGCCGCAATCGCTCGTCTTCCACTCCTCCAGCCAGATGAGCAAGGAATAAACACATACATATATGTATATATAACGCACATACTTATATATATATATATATGCACACTCGTGTCTTCTTCGTAAACTGATATTGTGTTTCGGGTACATCTATGGCTCGTTCTGCACTTAGTGCACCGCCGTTTTTGTTGTGGTGCCGTTCTGGACTCCGATATGCAGATCCCACTCTCGCTTAGGGCCACATTCAAGAGTTGTCCCCCAGCACTGGGCCTCAAAATGCCGATCTTCTTGCAGATACGGCAGGGAGCAGGTGATGACCTGCGAGCAACTTGGCAGCCGGGGTAGCGGGTAGCTCTCGCATCTCTCGCTGATATGCAGATTCTGGACGTCACGTGGCGTCGACCGTGGCGTTCAATGCATTTGAAGCTTTGTATCTGTAGTTTCATCGGGGAATACCTGCAAAAAAACTCCTTGACTCTCACATTGATCCTCTCAAGGCAAACATGCGCCGTGATCGGTGCCTGGCAGGAGACGTGGACCATGATGTAGGTCAGCACGCAGAGCCCGATGCATTCCCATGGCACGCGAACCATCTCGAACCATCTGCAGGCTTCAGGATTTTGCACACTTGACAAAGGGCTGTGCCGGGCAGTTGACGTCTTGCTTCTTTCTGTTCTGCGCGTGTGCACGCGCGCGTGTGCGTGTGCGCGTGTGCGTGCAGCGTGTGGTCTGTCCTCCTTTTCTTCCTGTCTCTATCTCTCTCTTGCTCTCTCTCCTCGGTCTGGTGGGTGTGTTCTGCTTGTGTGGGACGTTGGCACACTTTGGGGAGCAAGCTGCAGATCTTCAGATCTTCGAGACGGGGGCGGGCATGTTTTGAGCCAAAAGCTGCGCAAAGGAGGGGCTGAGCAGTCACCGGTGCAGACGCAACAACACTTCGACCACTTCGATGGGGTCACGCGGACAGCGCATTGGGGCACGGGAGCTCCCCTTTTCTTTTTCCATCTATCGCTCTTTCCACTGCCCTTCCTCGCAGATGCCTTTGTTTCAGAAAGTTAACGTGCAATGAAAAGCAGGGCTGAGCACAACAACAGATGATTCTTCAAAGGTCTTTGGAGCAACATTCGCCTCAGCTTCCTGCCGAGACGCCGTGCAGAATTGACCGGTCCCCACCCCCCCCCCCCCCCAACCCACTCTGTTTGGACCCACCCCGATCGCTTGGAGCAGCTGCCCCCCCCCCCCCCCCACCACCCCCGTAAGACGGACACTTAAAGGCTATGCTGCACGTGCGTGCCTTGTAAACAATACTTTACAAAGGAAACACCCGCAGAATAGACGCAACGCAGAATAGACGCAATGCACCCTTAGCATCAGCACACTGTGTCCCGGGCGGGGGCGCGGAGGGCGCGGATCGGCGCGGAGGGCGCGGCGGGTGCGGTGGGTGCGGCGGGCGCGGAGCACGCGCAGGGCTCGGAGGGGCGTCCACGCGTCCCCACTCCCTTGCCCATCAACCCAATGTCACGCTCCCCATCCGTGCTCCCCCCCCGAACCCGTCCGTCAACCTTCAGGCATGGTCCATTGCCTCCCCACGCCACACCCCTCTCCCAGCAAAATGTTCCGAACTCGCTTGACCGTGTCGTGTCCGTGGCCTCCCGTCAAAATGTTGACCGTCTCCTCTTCGTGGCCTGTTTCGCCAAAAAGCGATCCGATAGAACGCCTTCCGCGTTGAAGTGCCAAACAAACGAGAACAATTGGTTTTCGGGAAGAATCCAAGAAAACAAAGAGCACGCGCAGAATAGACGTTAAGCGTCCAAGACACCCACCACCCCCCCCCCCCCCCCCCCCCCCCCCCCCCCCCCCCCCCCCCCACCGGCCCCCCCAACCCCCCAACCCCCCCAACTCCCCCCACCCCCCCCCCACCCCCCAACCCCCTTGCACGCCCTGCACTGGGCCCCTTGTCCTCCCCCTCGAAGCTTCCTAAAGCCTTCTCCCGTCAGCTTGATAAGCGTATGTTGTGCAACCAACCCTTTTCACAGGGACGCCCCTGTGCACATAATGCATGCTCTGAGCCGGCCCGGCAGCCGAGGCGGCGCGTAAGCGTTTACAATTACACCACCGAAGACCCCAAACAGTCAAAGGCATTTGAAAGAAACAGTACAGACGACGGGAGCCAAAGAGAGACGAAGGGAGACAAAGGGAGACCAGGAGCCCAGGAACGCGGCAACAGTCCTCAGAATGTCGGCAATCCTTGAATTTAGAATGCCAACACTGGACTGTTTGGGGCTGTTTGGGGCTGCTTGGGGAATTTGGGGAAGCACAGGGGCTCCGTGAGGACCCGGCCAGCTGGCGCCAGCGCGCCTCGATCTGGTGCTGCGCCTCTGCTTGGAGGAGAGGTGAAAGCAAAGCAAAACAAACAAGAAGTGAGAAAACAAAGAAAGAGAGAACTGAGAGAACTCTGAGGTATGTGCAGTATTGTGCAGAGATAGATGGAGAGAGAAAAGGAAAGAGAGAGCGAAAGAGCGAGAGAGAGTGGAGAGAGCAGAGAGAGCTTGATAGAGAAAGAAGCATAACATTTTGGGCAAACACTCCTCCGTCGGAAATTGAACTTGGGTCTTCCGCGTGACGGACATACTAACCACTATATTACAGCAGACGTGTTGGCCGCCAGCTGCTAACCTGACAAAACCCTCAAGACAAGAGCCAACAACAGAAGCTCGGCTTCTGCCTCATTCTGCTGGTCTTGACTTTCATGTCTGTGCCAGCAGTTGCTTCACCCGTGAATCCCAATCACGAAACATCATTGGGAGTAACTCCATTTTTTCCGCCATGTTCGAATACAGGCTGCTTCCCATCAGAGTTCTCCCAGAAAGAGAGAGGTGCGGGGCGCTGATTGTTTAAGTGCTGCTCTCAGATCTGAGCGCCCGGGCCCAACGGAGTGTGGGCGCCTCCGCTTCGCCGAGGGAGCTCCTCAAGGCACACGGGTGCACTTTTGCGTCACGGTCGAGGCTGCTCTCCGCTCTCCTCCCTTCCCCTCTTGGCCCCTCTTCTCCCTTCCAGTCATCTCTGCAGCCTTTCAAGAGTTTGGGCTTCCCGGCGCAAAGGTGTCAGCTGGCCCAGTGCCATCTTTCTGAGTCAAGAGCTGCACGGCCTCCAATTGAGGTGTTAGATCCAACAGCGAGACACACCAGGGAGGTCACGGCACCAATGGCCATTAATGAAGAGAGTGATAAGTTTTTGAGAGGTGTGAGTCCAGAGTAGCAGATTGCCCATGTGACACGTGCGATGCGCTCCAACGAGATCTCCAAATTGTGAGCTCCAGAACTTAGGAGGAACCGACCATGTCTCTGCCGCTTGGGGAAGCCGGGGAAGCGGTTCACCCGGAAAGCTCCCATTCCCAAAGAAGCTCGACCCCCTGCAGTGGGGTAAGTGGATGTAAGTGGGGTATAAGAGCCAAGCGATGAGATTGCTCAGAGTGTTCAAACCAGTCTCCCTGATCTCAAATCGCGCCTGCTGGCACGCCTGGTCCTTCAGCTGCTCGGACATGAGCTCGCTGCGTGCCTTCATTGTACTTCATAGCAACACACAAGATTTCACAACCACACCCTGTCAAGAGCTAACTCAACCTACTTATAAAGCACAATCACGAACATTAAGAGAAAAGAGACTCCCCCTCATAATACTGAGAAATTCGGGGGGGGGAGAATTTCGGGGGGGGGGGAGACTCAGGTGCCGGCCAATCTGGCTTCTGCCTCCACCTTGCGGGCTTTCAGCTCCTGCTTGGGGGGGGGGGGGTTGGAGAAACCTGATCTCGTGATTTCGCCCCACCAACCCGAATAACCCGAAGGGCGATGCGTATTCAACACACGGCAACCAGAAAGGACGTGGTGGCACGAGATCCGAACGTGCGTCATCCGTCTCTCTGTCTCGCTCTTTCTCGTCTTTCTCTCGGTGATCTCCCTCTCTGTTCTCTCTTTTCTCTCTGTTCTCTCCTCTCTCTCAATTCATTCATGCAATCATCCATTCATTCACTCATTCACTCATTCACTCAAACATTCATTCATTCATTCCTTCATCGATTCATTCCTTTGTCTTTCATTCCTTCATCGTATCATTCCTTTATTCATTCATGCTCTCTTTCTCTCATTCTCTCTGGGTCCGTCGTTTTTGTTCACCACCCCTAGTCTTGCTAGCGGAGTGTCGACACCCATAGGGGGGTCTGCTGATGTGGGCTTGGGGGCATCGGCCCCGTGGCCTTCGACGCACTGAGTTTCATCTCCGGATTAATCGTGCTGGGCTGCATCGGCTCTGCATTAGATTCTCATTAGGTCTCCAGAAATGACAGCCTTGAATTGCGTTTTCCAGAGTATTTAGACAGCGGAGGTCCTATTTTTCCTGAGTATTGGCAGGCTTCAACGTTGGCACCGTCAACAGCACGATGCCAATCACCAACGATGCGCGTGATGGCACGGCAACGTGAAAGAAGCAGCTTGTTAAGCTCTTCCTGCAGAAGTACTGACAGGACTTCCGTGAAGGATTGCGAATTGCTGTCCATGCCGGAAGATCGCCTTCATCACAGCATGGCACAGAGAGACTGCGTGCTGTCCAGAAGGGGCGCTCTCCTCCCATCATATTCCTCGTCCCTCTTCCCGTTTGTCCTCCAGCTGCTTCTCCACCTCCTGGTGCCGTGCCCGGCGCCTCTTCGAGTCCAAGGAGTCCTCCGCAGAGAACGCTCTCGCGATGACCAGCGCCCCCCTCTAAAAAAAACCAAAACCTCGCTGTCTCTTCGAAAACGCGCGCTCTCTCTTTAAAACTCACTATCAACTGTAGTGGAACTCATCCTGGCCTCAGCATCTCTTGGCAGCTCTTCCTTCGTGTCTCGGCCGTTGGAGCCATTGCTGCCTCGTTTCATCGCGCTGCGCGCCGAAGAGAGGTGCGCTTCACACGGTCCGCGCTTCGGCCTCTTCTGTCCTCGGGAGCCTCGGACAGGACATGCAGGAAAGCATGCCATGCAGCATCATGAGAAGCAGCCGGGTACGATGGCACAGCTTCTTCTTCAGGTCCCGACTGCAACTGTTGAAGCCAGCTCCAACTGGAGGTCCAGTGCCCGGCTCCTGTCACGTAACTCGGTGCACTCGAACGAGGCTTTCACAGCCACAAGGCTGAACAGGACCACAAGAGCCAGGTTGCGAAGGAGGACGGGCCTGCCTCCAAAAGCAAGCCTCCTCCATGTAGTGCTCTTTCAGATTCTGCAGCCTCTTGCACCACGTCGCAATTTAAGAAACATGTGTCACGCTCGTGAGAACGAGGGGGCAGAAACCCCGTCATTCTCCTCTCCGACCCCCTCTTAAGCTGAGGTGTTGCCCCCCTCTCTCCCTCCAGATTTCTTTCTTGGGGGCTTCAGGGCCAGGCGCACCCGCATCCAGTCTTGATGTGAGACTTCGTAGGTATCGTCCCCTCCGTTCGCTGTCTCTCTCGCTCGATCTTTCTCTGTTTCTGTTTCTCCAAGTCCGAGGCTGATGTTGGACGTCCGCCAGCTGCCTCCTGCGTCTCTCGGGCAAGGCTTATAACGCTTTCGCTTTCATACAACTGCTTTCCCTCCCTTCGAGCCTCTTTTTATCAACTGCAACATGCCAACATGCAAACCCAAGCCTCCCAAGCCTCCCAAGCCTCCCTCCTCAACTTCTCTCCTCTCGTTCTCTCGCTCCCTCTCCGAAACCCCCCCCCCCCCCCCCCCCCCCCCCCCCCCCCCTTTATTTCTCCCCCCATAGTTCCCTTACATTTCGGGGTCCTCAGGGCCACGTTCTCCTCCAAGGCCTCCTGAGACGGAGAGCTCTCAGCTCAGAGCTAGTCAGAGGCTCGCAGAAATTCAGGATTCTCAAGGGGGGCTTCTCTTCTCTCTCTTCGCCGCCTCATCTCTCCTTCATCGGTGCTTTTTCAATGCTTCTCTCTTCTTGAATCTCTTTCAAAAAAAGACAGCCTCAGTCAAAGAGCTCTGACTCAAACCTCAAATGGGGCAATCTCCTCATCGTTCGGGTGGCTGTGGCCACACTGCTCCTGCAAGCAGCAAGCAGCGCTGACTCAAGCATCCTCAACCTCTTTTGCTTTTTTTGCCACATTTGCCACATCGCCGAAAGGAAAACCTTAGGCAAAACCAAGTGCTAGGCACCGCTCTTCGCGCAATAGAACGTGCTGTCACGTGCTGTCCCTCACCTCTCACGGCTACAAGGAGAGCCTGCGGACGACGAAGTATGGCTGGGCTACGACTTAAGACCGCGCAATACTGGGCAAGATTGAACAACTGCTCTTAACCCGGACAGTCTAGCTTTAAAGCTATGGCGATGGGCAGAACGAACTGCTCTTTCAGCAAACTCCCTTGCCTGAGCAGCCATTCGAGAAAACGTCTCCGCAGCTGGTGGAGTGTTTCAGAGGCGTCTATCCCATGGCCCAAGTGAAGCTTGCTTCAGCAGAAGTGGCCATGCTCAACTCTGGTTACTTTTGCGTTCTGTGTCTTATTGTGTCTTCTATACCCAGCCTGTTGCGCACATTGTCATCAACTCTTACGACATGCGAGTCTTTGGTGACGCTGCTTTCCAAGTTCTTTTCAGCGGGCTCATGACATCCGACTTGGTCTGCTCTGAAAAACATGTGTGTCGTCCGCCTTCTGCTCGTGCCCAGTGCTGCTCCATCTCACTGCGCTTCGCGTGATGACGCTGCAATCCGAGTATGCAGATGTAATCTCAGATGTATGCAGGTGACATGCTCGACCCGAGGGCTCAAGTTGGCTCCGGGAGAGATGGAAAAGGGGAAGGGCTCTGACCTGCAAAATGCTCTGCTCTCACATGGTGCGCTGCAGAGCAGTAGCTCAGTAGCTCAGTAGCCCGGGACCAGACCCACGGGCTGATCTAGCGACATCCGCCGAAGCCTGGCGCCCAGGGCCTGGGCAAGGGCATGCTGAGACCATCGAGGCATCGCCGCTCATTGAGCCCACTGAGCCCCTGCAGTGCTGCCCGGTGCATCATGGTGTGGTGAGCCCTGCGCTTCTTCATCCCCACATCGTCAGCATCCGGCAAGACCTCGACCTCTGTTCCCCCCCCCCCCAAGGAATACGTAAAACTTTGCTGCTTCGCGGGTCAGGGGCTGCCCTTGCACCATGATCATGGCCCTGGGATGCCCTGGGATGCCCTCAGGGGTTCCGCGCTCAACTGTCAACGGATTTCAACCCCAAAGGCAAAATCTTCGACAAATCTGCATGGACCACTGCTCTTGCCCGCACCTCTTGTGCAGCGAGCAGTGTGCGTTAGCATTGCGCCAGGCTTTGCTGACATTTTGTCAGAGTCAACAGGTGACTGAAAAAGCATGACACAGGCTCAGGTGCGGATCCGTTGCCAGGTCGAACAACATAAAAACGCCTGTCTTTGCTCCCCATGTAAAGCGCCTCCCAAACATCCCTGCAACAACTTGATGTCAACGACTTGATGTGATCTCGCACCCGACGCCCCACTCTGACTCTGCGGCCCTTGTTGCCGCAAAAGTGCAGAAAGTCCAAACGGCCCTACAAATGTTTTGCAGCGGCCGCTTCCTACCGAACTGGCCCTTTCCGAACCCTGCTCTGAGTACCGCACATGATCGACGATTCATTGTATCAGAACACGCATGCCGCATGACCAATAACAGTATTCATCAGTGTTTAGCTAAGTTTAGCTACCTGTCTGAGCTATAGACAGTGATGCCGCCAACAGGCACAACATGTGATAACCACCGAGAAAAAAGGATGCGCCCCGAAGCTGTGAAGATCAGGTGAGAGGAGCTCCATTAAAGGACAGGCACAGCTGGTGCGACATGATGCGTTCGTAGAAGGGCGAGGCCTACTGACGAGTCACCGCAAACCTCCAAGTCCATGGAGACGCGGACACTAGGCAAACACGATGAAACACGTCTTTCGCAGGCATGCAGCAACCGGTGCCGAGTGGGGCTGCCATGCTATGGACCGAAGTCGTGGTTGGGAGTCCAGGGCCAGTTGATGGCTACGGTGCAGCCCAAACCTCTGCCGCCTCTACCCGCGGTTCCAGCTGACCTGGCAATTGACCAATCCGTGGCCGCCAAAAGATGAGTGGTGTTTCAGTTACCGAGCAAGAGCACGCGTGCCTCCGATATCCGCGTGCCAGAGCTCCTTCCCCTGGCTGAGTGTCAAAGGCTCTGCCTGGCACGAAAGGACGTGAAAAAAAGGGCACAAGAAGAGAGAGAGAGAGAGAGAGAGAGAGGCACAGAGAGGGAGAGAGAGAGGCAGAGAGACAGGGCGAACAGGGAGCGAGGCACCTGCATGGGGGCAAAGCCGGGCTGCAGGTTGCTCGGATCGGGAATGGCAGGAACTTCACCACAGGCCTCGCCGCGGGCCTCGTAGGGGGCCTCTGGTGTAGGGCCTCCAAAGGCGAGGCGATTCGTTCGGGCGCTCGGCGGGGGCCGGCTCGGCAGGCGGCTCGGCAGCGCGGCGGCTTCGAGCCGCGCGGCGCTGGCAGCCGCCAGCGCTGGCGGCAGTGCCCCGTAGCCTCAGATGCCGCTATGTATATATATATATATGTATATATATATATATACCGACGACGGTTGTTTATCAAATTTACAAGGGTTGTTAATAGTCTATGTGTATTGAGAGGGGTGTAGTCGCGCTGTCTCTTTACGAGCGAAGCGAATGATGGGCTGGGGTTCCGGCGGCACTCCACCGCAAAGACGTAGCAGAGCTCCGGCCGCAGGAAGCGGACAGCATAGTGCCTGGCATCGACGGCTTCGAGTGCACGTAGTGTTCGGCCGCTCGCGCCGCTCTCAGCAACGCCCTCGAAAAACTTCTGCCCGGGGCTGCAGGTGTTGCCCGCCGTCCTCGCCCTGCAGCACAAGGAATATGCACGACCCTGTGTGAGTCAAACTTTCAAACAACCCCGTTAAACCCCCAAAAAGGAGAGAGAGAGAGAGAGAGAGAGAGGGCGGGAGGGGGGCGCCGGGGCCTGATCGTGCAGCAGCCCCACGGTCTGCCAGTCCAGGTGCGAGGAGCTGTCCCCTTCCGCACAAAGGATCCAGTAGTCCTCTCCAGCGGGAAAAAGGAACTTCAGCGATGCAACTTTCTTTGCGTCTCTCCATACAAAGAAGCAAGAAGAAGCAGAAGAAGAAGCAAGTGAGGAGCGCTCTTAGCGGCTTAGCGGCTTCTTTTTCTCTTCAAGGGGGAAAAGAAATTTTCTCATTCACCGCGGGGCGGAAAGGGGGGTGTCCAGCGAGGCCAGGTGCGGCTCACCGGAGGCGCAGCGCGGCCAGCGTAGGGACACCGAGGACTCCGAGGCCTCCTCCGAAAATATTAAAGAGCTCGCAAAGACATCTTTAAAAACTGCGAAGCACGCACACGATCCTTTCTTTTTTGTTTACTGATTCTTCCGAGTCTCCGCTACTTCTTCTCCCCTCATCCCTCACCTCCTCACCCCTCCTTCTTCCCATTTAGCCGATTTCGCCTTCCGGAAGACAAGTTGGAGGCCAATCCGTCAAGCCCGTCGGCTTCTAAAAGCTTCCCGTGGCGATGAATTCGGCTGCCCCCTCCTGCTTTTTCTGTGATTTCCCCTCTCTTCCGTCACCTCTTCTCCTCTCCGTAAGGGGGGCGTTTCAGCTCCTTTCCTCTCTGACTTCTCCTCTCCGGGACATTCTGGGACTCTGCGGGTTTTTGTGTTCGGCCCTGCGGGCTCTTAAAGCCTTAAGTGCCTCCAGGAACAGCTCCCCTGCCACTTGCGGCTGCCGGAGCTGCACCAGGATGCTGCTGGGCTCGGACCAACCTCGTGTGGTCACAGTGCCACAGCTGAGCTGCACTTCAAGCATACTTCACAACGCCCATAATATAGAGTCTATGTAATAATATAATGTCGCGATCCTGCTGTGGTGTGACTTGGAACAGACGAGGTTGCGGGAGTCTCATCTGGGCCCCAAAAACCTCCAAAACCATAAGCCTGCCAGGCAGAAGCAGGAAGGCGGCCTTCGAAAAAAGGAGGGAAGTTCTGTCTTGCGAGTTGCGACGCCCAAAGAAGGTGGGAGCTCTTTCCCCCCCCCCCCCCCCCCTCGGTCGCCCTCGACCTCTTCGACCTCTTCGACCTCTGAGCTCCCTGACTTGACCAGAGGATGGCGTTGCTGTGGCGCATTTGCACCTTAGGCGGAAGTGGCCCGAAGGAGGTCTTCCCAACAGCTACTGGCACCGGCCTCCACTCGCGATCCAGGCCAAACAAGCCACTGCTGATCACGAAAGACCCACTCATAGCCCTGCAGGTGCGCGTCAGTGCGCGTCAGGTCTCCCTCGCCCTCGCTCTCGCTCTCTGGCTCTCTCTCTCTCTCTATCTTCTTCTTCTTCTTCTTCTTCTTCTACAGGGCTTGAAGGACCCGAAGGCCCCCCGCGCGCGCAGGCGCGCCCAGTAACTCAGTTCGTCCTTTGGGTGAAAGTTTTCGGCCAGCGTTCATCGCCGTGGGGCATGACCCCATCCTTCCAAAGTGCTTAGTAAACCTTCGTATTTTATCTTTTTTTATTTTTTTTCTCTCTCTCTCTCTCTCTCCCTGTCTGCTGAAAAAAGGACCCAGTGCATATGCCTGCGTGTTCTCCTCGCTCGACTGCCTGCAGCGGAAGCAAGCACACATCAAAACTCAATGCCTGATATCGGACCTGGCAACTTGCTGGAAGTTGCAATCCCACAGACTCACAGACCCTTAACCGCTCTGAAGAAACACTGCTGTCACACAGCCGGATGCTCTGATGGAGATGACGTGGCACGCTGCGCCGGGCCACGAGTCAGAAACACCGAGTCGGAAACGGCACGAGGCCAGTCCCCCCCCCCCCCCCCGAGTCGGAAATCCGGATGAGGCGAGTCCGAGAACCGAAATTTCATTTGGATTGTACTGTAAGTTTCTGTCAATTCTCTACTTTTCTGATTTTCGAAGCATGAACACAAGAAACAAAAACAAGAAACGAGGGGGGGGGTGCAACTTAGACTTATTCTCTACTTCTCTACTCATTCTCTATTTTTCGAATAATGAACACAAGAGACAAATCAAGGAACGAGGGGGGGGGGTGGAATTTGCAATAATTCTCTACCGCTCTGATACTCGACAAGCAAATGGGGGGGGGGCTTTGATTACGTCAGAAAAGTCGTTGTTGTCAGTTGGACTATGATGCAAATTTCTATCATTCTCTACCTCTCTGATTTTCGAAAAATGAATACAAGAACCGAAACAAGAAACGAGGGGGTGGAATTTAGACTAATTCTCTACTTCTCTACTCATTCTCTAATTTGCGAGTAACGAACACAAGAGACAAAACAAGAAACGAGGGGGGGTGGAATTTAGTAAAGGTTTCTACTCCTCTGATAGTCGAATCATGAACGGTGCCTTTTTTTAAAGATGCGACATTTAAATAAATAAATAAAACAAATATTATATCCTACCTCCGCGAGGGGTTGGGTGGGGCTGCCCCTTTTTTAAACACCCGAAAACCATAACCATTCAAACTACCCCCGTGGAAAAGAGGTCGTCCACGACGTCGGCTGCCTGCTGTCGGTTGAAGGCGTTGTTGTGGATTGGGGCTTGGGTTTAGGTTTTTGTAATGGCTTGCAGGTTTTCAGCCCTGGGACATTGTCCTAGGGTGTTTTCTGGCTTGTTCCCATCCCTGAAAGGCCCCGAGCCCCAGAAACCTATAACATTGTCCTTGGGTGTTTTCTGGCTTCTTCCCACCCCTGAAAGGCCCCAAGCCCACAGAAACCTAGGACATTGTCCTAGGGTGTTTTCTGGCTACATTGTCCCAGCGTGTTTTCTGGTTTCTTCCCACCCCTGACAGGCCCCAAGCCCCCCAAAAAGCTAGGACATTGTGCTAGGGTGTTTTCTGGCTACATTGTCCCAGGGTGTTTTCTGGCTTCTTCCCACCCCTGACAGGCCCCAAGCCCCCCAAAAAGCTAGGACATTGTCCTTGGGTGTTTTCTGGCTTCTTCCCACCCCTGAAAGGCCCCAACTCTGATATTCGACAAGCAATTGGGGGGGTGGGGGCTGCGCCCCGTGCCTTGGACGCTTAACGTCTATTCTGCGCGTGCTCTTTGTTTTCTTGGATTCTTCCCGAAACAAATTCTGAAATTGGGTTCTCGTTTGAGGCGTTCTATCGGACCGCTTCTTGGAGGAGTTTTGACGTGAGGCCGCGGGGACGACACGGTCAAGGGAGAGGGTTCGGAACATTTTGCTGGGAGAGGGGCGTGGCGGGGAGCGTGACATTCCCTTGATGGGCAGGGGAGTGGGGACACGTGGATGTTCCTCCGTGCCCTCCGCGTTTGCAAGCCCTCCGCGCCCTCCGCGCCTCCGCGCCCTCCGCGCCCTCCGCGACCTCCCGCCCTCCGCGCCCTCCGCGCCCTCCGCGCGCTCCGCGCTCTCCGCGCCCTCCGCGACCTCCGCGCCCTCCGCGCCCTCCGCGCCCTCCGCGCCCTCCGCGCGCTCCGCGCCCTGCGCGTCCTCCGCGCCCTCCGCGCCCTTCCCGCCCTCCGCGCGCTCCCCGCCCTCCGCGCACTCCGCGCCCTCCGCGCCCTCCGCGCCTACAGTGTGCTGATGCTAAGGGTGCATTGCGTCTATTCTGCGGGTGCGTTGCGTCTATTCTGCGGGTGTTTCCTTTGTAAAGTATTTGTTTACAAGGCACGCACGTGCAGCATAGCCTTTAAGTGTCCATCTTAACGCCCCCCCCCCCCCCCCCCCCCCCCCCCCCCCCCCCCCCCCCCCCCCCCCAACCCCCCCCCCCCCCACCCCCCCCCCCCCCCCCCCCCCCCCCCCCAACCCCCCCCCCCACCCCCAACCCCTCGCTTTTTGATTGCGTCAGAAAAGACGTGAGAAAAGCAGGCCGATAGAACTCTTGCAGGATTGAGCGCCGTATATTCTAGTCTATATTCCATACTCAAGGACAGAGTCCTATTCCCTGCTCAACGACAGTAGTTTTGTTTGGGTCAGGACGGGTACAGCATTCAGGTTGTCTCATTTTTCCGACTCGCCCCTTCGCCCGTTTCCGACTCGCCTCGGTGCTTTTTCTGATTCTGTTCCCTGCTTTTTTCCGACTCGTGTTCTCGACTCGACGGGTTTGTTTCTGGGATCGCACTCCAGGCCGCGCAGAGAGCGGCGAGCGTGTGCCAGATTTTCTGCATGTTCGCAGCGGGCGATGTGGGCGATGCGGGCGATGTATGATCCACGTATGATCCACGTGATGGGCGGTGTCTCGGGTGCACAGTGTTGAAGATGGTTGAGGCATCAAAAACACTGCAGGAAGAACGTGAGCGCAAACCTCGACTGAATCCACCCTCATCTACACTCAGAAAACTCAAAGGGTCAATTTTGGAATCCTCTTGGGAATTCTCTGAATTCTGAATGCTTGCCGAAGCGCGGGCGAGGCATCAGCTGCGGCTGGAGCACCTCCACAGTTACAGAGTGAAAGCAATTCGAGTAAAGCCAAAGAGCTATAATAGCTATAAGATATCACACCGCGAAAAATTAGAACATGAAAGAGAAGCGCAGAGAAGCGCAGAGAGTGTGGGGCTCTTGTGTCGGCTCTTGGCCTCCCAAGCCCCGTGGTCCGCCCAGCGAAGCCGCACCTCTGCGCGGATGGACGTGGGGGGAAGATGGGGGAAGAAAGCAAAAATGAAAAAAACGAACCCCTCTTCCCCCCCCTTCCCCCCCCTTCCCCCCAAAAGTCTCACAGAAGTCTTTCAGAAAATCTCAGAGAAGTCTCGTTCTCAAAACTCGTTCTAACTGATTCTTCAGACAGCTTTCAACTGTTACTCTCACGTGACTCTCAAGAGTTGCTTCTCGCGAAACTGCGCCTGGAAGCGGGTCGCCTGGATCCCATTGCCACGAGAGAAGTCATGCTGGACCGCGTAGGCCACCTACCACAGCTTACCCCCCAGCACCGCTCAAAATTTGCTCCCTGAATAGGCGACTTTGCGCTACTTTGCACTACTTTGCACAGTCCCCTCGCGCGACCGCTCTTGGTGTCGTAATGTGGTAAGGTCTGTAGGGTCTGCACAGGGCCCACATCCTCGTCGACGGGTGCTCGGATCTGCAGAGGCTGCTCCTCAAGCCCAACAGATGCAACACACCCGCAACACACCCGCAACTCTTTGACGCTTTGACTCTTTGACGTCATTCGAATTCTCTTCCATGCCATTCTGCCGAGAGGACCCCCGCTTTCCCCCGCTTTCCCCCGCTTTCCCTTTTCGGGCCCCTGGCCCAGGCGCAGCGCAGAGAGAGGCCGGCTTCCTGTGCACGGAGTTGCCTCAAGATGCGACAGACAGATGACCCCTGTTCTGTGTCTGCCCTCATGAAACCACCACGCCAACACAAGAACAACCCAGAACACACATACATGTATAGAGGGTATATATAGAGATATGTATCTGTACGTATCACGTGACGCGTGACGCGAAACTGCTCTAATATGGAGCGGGTCGGCGAGAGGGGGTCCCGGTGGGGGGCACGTCCACGTCCTGGGGCGCCCCACAGCTCCAAGCGCTGCGGCCTCCCAGAGGGAGAGGCTCTCTGAGAGGCTCTCCCTCTGACTCCCTCTCCTTTTTGCTAAGTTTCTAGTTTCTCTCTCTCTCTCTGTTTCCTCTTCCTCTTCCTCTTCTTCTTCTTCCTCTCCCCCACCCAGGTTTACTTCCCCAGGGCCATTGCCCTGTGCGTCTTTCTGTGTTCAGGTGTCTAGCTTCATCGCTTGGGGTGTTCCCTGCATTGCGTTGAGCTTCGAGGTCCGTCCCTTTAACCAACATCCCCACCTGCACCAACCACACGAATGCCTCACAGACTAGAATCGTCTTTGTTGGTTTGTTGGGTACTGCTCGGAATGTTTCCCTGCTCTACTTGCCTCCCCGTTCTTCTTGCTGTTGGAGTTCTTCTGCTTCTTGATCATGATCCATGATGTCTTCTTCCGGGTCACCCTCTGCCTCTTGTTGTCTTCCTTGTCCTTGTTCTTGTTCTCCCCCTCCCTCTGTTCCTTGTCTGGATCTTTCGGCTTTGGTTCCCTCTGGTCGGTTTGGTGCTCTCCGTTGCCCCCCGGCGTCCACTTGTTCTCGGCCTTCTCCTTGCGTGTCTTGGCTGTCCTCCACCACCTGTATGTTTTGGTCTTGCAATCACATCCGCCAGGTGCACTTGTCCAGGCGCCGTTCCGGCAGCTCGTTCTCCCTCTCCCCCGTCTCTTGCATCTTGTCCTCGTCGTCTTTCTTCTCCTGCTTCATATTCCCCTTGCGCATTCTGGTACACTTCGTTGCACATTACTCCTCTGGTCCGGACTTGCCGGATCATCTGTCTGTAGTGTTTCCTTTCTCTTTCTCTCTCTCTCTATCTCTTTTCCCCTTCTTTCTTTTTCTCGATCTCTCTCTCCCTACCTCCCTCTGCTCTGTCTTCTCCTCTCCTCTCTTTCTCCTCTCCTCTCTTTCTCCTCTCTTCTCTTTCTCCGCTCCTTCTCCCCTCTCTTTCTCTGTGCTCTTCGCCCTTCGCCCATATTACTCGCCTGGCCGGGGGCCGGGGATGGAACCAGGCCGAGGGCGGCGAGGCGGCGCGGCCCCGGCCTCTACCGAAGAGAGATGTATGTACGTGTGTGTGGAAAAAATTGCAATGCTTGTGCATCTACAACCTCGGATGCGACTTGCAAGCTCTCTTTCTTATTCCTTTTTCGTTTTCCATTCTTGTGTCTGTGTGTCTATGTGTGTCTATGTGTGTCTGTGTGTGTCTGCGTGTGTCTGCGTGTCGCTCTCTTTCGCTTCTCCGTTCCTTGGGTCATGAGGACCCGGAGCTGGATGGCTGTGCACTCCGCAAGGTTCAATCGCAGAAGCCGGAGCCTCAGGGGGGAGCTCAAGAGGCTTGATTGGAAGCTTCCAGAAGCTTGGAAAGCTCGCCATGTCACGGAACTGCGCGGGAAGAGGCAGAGACTAGCTATATTGAACAGCTGATAAGGCTCCGGGTGAAGAGGTGAAGAGGGGAACCCAACAAAAACAAAAAGAGAGGAAGCAAAGCGGGGAAGCGGGGGGGGGGAGAGTCCGGGGGACCCTCTCCGAAAAGAGATGAAGGGATGAAGGGAAGGCTTCGGGAAGGCTCTCTGGCTCTCTCCATTTTTGGGTTCCCCGGCTGGAGCCGCTCCGGGTCGCCGCCCGCCTGCAGCCTCAGGGGAGGGGAACGTGACATCTCCATCTCTCCTCCACTTCTCCTTCTTTTTGCTCTCCCCCGTCTCTCCCCTTTACGGTCAATATCCCTATCAATACACCTCACGTTCTCCCATCTTCGCAAAGCACTCTGACGAAATGCCGGAGAGAAAGCCCCGCAATACAAGAGCTCTCGCGCTTCCCACCACTTTCCACGCCGCGCCTGAGCCGCGCCTCCACCGACGCGCTGGCTGGGACCGTGTTCCACATGGAGACCTTCTCCCACGAATCAAACCCGATCGCACCGGAAGCGCGAAAAATGTAGCCATTGGCAACCATGGTAAGACGTGACCCAAGCCTTGCAGCCTTACATGCTTACATGTCCGGTATCACCTAGAGGTCAGTACTGTATGTTGACTCACGATAGCACAGCTATGGCCCCAAGAACCGTGTCAATTGTTCGGGCGAATGGAGCTCCAACGAAGGCATTTAATTTGAGATCTCGCGGAAGGCGCCTGAAACCGGTTCAGCCCGGCAGCCGTCGCAGCACCTTTTCATATAAAACACGAGAGCAGGCGAGCTCGGATGCGGTCGCACTGAGATGTGCACAGACTCGGCGTGGATGTGTGCAGAAGGTCTGGCCAGCACATGGATTGGTCCCGGGCGATACTGCAGAACGAGCTGGCTTGAAAGGTCCTCGCCCCCAAGGTCTATGGAACACCGCGAAGACAAGCCACAACAGATCTGCCAAGAAATTGGTCCTTCGGATATGGCCAGCGGACCAGCAAGGGTGGTGAAGCCTGTGCACAGGGAGCGGGACCTTCAACGCCATAAACTGTGATATGACAATAAGCCACAAACTCCAAGAAACAATGCTGTCTCAAGGCGCTGAGTGACCGAGTTGAGTGTCCACGCCTCGCTTTGGCCTTGGCGAGCCGCAACCTCCACTGGCGAGGCGGAGTCGAGGGCCAATGGCTGAGGGGCCTCGGAGAGCGGCTCTGATTCTGTTTTGCCGTCTCTGCAAACCTCCCCGATGCTACTCTATACCTCTCATCTTCACTCATCTTCACTCATCTTCCCTGTCTTTCCTCAAAGGTGCGGGTAGGGTGATGTCCGCGGTCGGAGAGCAGAAGCATTCGCTCCGGAGCGCGCGGGAGAAGTCCTCAAAGTGGCGATGCACTCACCACGAGGTGACTCAGATAGTGTCTCATCAAGTGCGCTATGATGAGGCTTGATACAAGTGACTGATAAGTACCCGAATCTATGAAAGGATTGAGCCCCGGTCCCGAGGCCCGACGTGGGGATAGCGAGCCTCCACTGCAAAGGTGTAGCTCACCTCAAGTTTTTTGCACAAAGGTCTCGTGGAACCGAAGCGGAACCGCTGGCTGAGGGTGCTTGAGAAACACATGTGAGTAGCAGTCAAAACCTCTAGTACGGCCCGAATGCCGCGAGAAATAGGGTTGGCCCCTATCGGTTATGCTATGGGAGTGGTTCAGGACTGGCGCCTATCGGTTATGCAGTAATGCGTGCCAGCTACTTGGTTTCGTTGATGTAGTACAAGCTTCCTTTCCCGTGAGCCGGCGGGGTTTTCGTTGATTTGTAGTACAAGCTTAGTACTGGAAGCGACGATCCCGTGAGCCGGCTGGGTTTTCGTTGATTTGTAGTACAAGCTTAGTACTGGCTGGGTTTCCGTTGATTTGTGGTACAAGCTTAGTACTGGAACCACCTTTCCCGTGAGCCGGCTGGGTTGTCGTTGATTTGTAGTACAAGCTTAGTACTGGCTGGGTTTTCGTTGATTTGTAGTACAAGCTTAGTACTGGAACCGACTTTCCCGTGAGCCGGCTGGGTTTTCGTTGTTTGGTAGTACAAGCTGAGTACTGGAACCGACGTTCCCGTGAGCCGGCTGGGTTTTCGTTGATTTGTAGTACAAGCTTAGTACTGGAACCGACGTTCCCGTGAGACTGCTGGGTTTTCGTTGATTTTGTAGTACAAGCTTAGTACTGGAACCGACGTTCCCGCTACGTGGTACGTATGTCCCCAATTATAACTGTGCATGCCGAGGGTATCGGTTTAGGGTTGGCCCCTATCGGTTCTCGTGCAAAAGCGACCTTGTCAATTCCATATGACCCCTCCAATTAAGGCTACCTCTTCCATAGGTTTTGTGCGATACTCATGTGGGTCGTGCTTGGTGGGCTGGGGAATGGCATGACGTCCACATTTGGTCGTACACTTGGGACATTGGGCTGATTTCCCGCCCGGTTTACGGTTGAGGGTGGGGACAGAGAGAGAGAGAGAGACATTATCCCTACATGCCTTCCAAAGCCCGCAAGGACCGCGTCAGGTGGCTGGCAGGGTGTGGCTGGAGGCCAGAGCACAAGTAAAGGCCAATACGGCATCACAGAACCGTGAACCGGACACCGAACCGCTGAACCGGACAGGCTCGCACCATGTTTTCAAGGGACGGCTCGCAACGTGCGAGTGCATCCCTGCATCCCAGTCGCATTGGACTGCAAGTAGGCGACCTCGGAGCGAAAACCAAACTCGGAGCGGCTCGAGCGCCCGACTGGCAGGAGACTTGAAATTGAAAAACGTCAGCAAATTGCCCGCGAACTTACAGCAAGTCTGCCTGTCGTGCTTCCAGTCAACGAGAGAGAGAGAGAGAGAGAGAGAGAGAGAGAGAGCGAGGGCGAGAGCGAGAGAGAGGGTTCGGCTGAGTCTCCGTGGTCATCTCCATGGCTCGCGAACCATCGGAGATGAAACACGCAACGACCTTCAGGGCAGACTTCGGACCTTTGATTTGAATCGGTTTTCCCACGGCTCGGTGCGCCTGCTCCCCGAGCTCCTCATCCTCAGTCAGCCCAAGAAAGGTGCGGAGGTGGTGGGGGCTGCTCTCTCTGTCTCCCACTTTCAGCTCCCTCTTTCAGCTCGGCTCTCTGATAGCTTCGTTTTTGGCACTTCTGTGTCACGTTCATGATTCATCTCCAATTCGCGCTTTAAGTTTTTAAGGGTTAAGGCCTTCCAACTTTTTGGCTACGCCGCGCTACGCCGGAGTGTGAAGTCTTGAAGTGAGGGTAGTGTGGGCCGTCGTGTGGCGCGGTTGGGGCCCCCGGCCGGGGATGTCGGGGAGGCGCTCGGCGAGCTCGGCGCCTCCTCTCGGCTCAGACTCGGCGCCGCCTTCCACGCAAAAGAGAGCAATAGAGAGAGAGAGAGAGAGAGAGAGAGAGAGAGAGGAGAGAGACAGCGGGCACATGACGGCACGTGCACAAATGAGAAGACGCAGCCCTGCAGGTACGCCTGTGCCACGACGCGGTACTCCACAAGAGCAAGCTCTCCACAGGTGCGGAAGGGCACCCATTCAAGCCTGAAGCAGCTCCCGCTGCCTCTCAACCCCCGCTTGATATTTACAAATAGATACTTTCCAGCTTCAATGTAGACATCCTCGTCTTCGCCCTGCCATCCTTCCTGCCTTCTTCACCCGCCTCTGCCGGGCTTTCCCTCTCTCTCTCCCTCTCTCTGTGGGTGACCTGAGGGCCACACTGGACCGCGCTCTCGCTCAGCGGCGTCAGGCGCAGGCCCTTTACAAAAACAAACAGCCCGTCTCAAAGAAGATCTGTCCCTGACTGTCCACACACATTCTACACGACGTCCACCAGAAGTGTTGGAACATGTCTCGTGACGGTTCACTTTCCTCCCGCTCGGGGTACGGAGGCACGAGGCAAGTGGAAACTCGCATGGACCTCAGAACTGCTTCGGATCCGCTTTATGGTTGCACCGTGGCGCTCTCGCACTCTCACTGAAGAATTCTTTCTGCATTTTCAGCTTCCCTTCTGCTCTGAGGCTGCCAACGGCTCCGACCACTCGAGCGCCATCTGTTGGTTCCTGGCGAGGGCTCAGTGAGGCGGAGTTGCACACTGCTGCACACTCTAAGGCTCCAAAGGCCTTGACCCTCACAGAGGCTCTCTTGAGAGGCGAACTGCGGCTACGGCGGCTACACAGCTCCTGCATCTGACGCTGAAGGCGTAGTCTGGGCCCGCGTGCAAGATGGGCACCTTAGCCCACATCACTCACAAGAAGAACATATCATCTAAGTACGCATAATAACTTTCAATACATTCAATGCAGCAACGTACGGTGCAACTTGTACAGTAAGCTGCTCTTAAAAGTGACCGCGTGACTTGCGGGAAAGAGTTCGACGAACAGAAAGTGGACTCTCGCGCGGCCTCGAACTCGAATGTCAGCTCCAGCTCGGAGCCAGCATCCTCCGAGGGCCCGGGGGGACTTTTCTGGGGGAAGGGGGAAGGGGGAAGGGGAGGGAAAAAAGGCTCCGCTGCTGCCTCCAACGGCTCGAGGTAACCGCACGGCACCGTCTGCAGCTCCTCTCGTGCCTCAAGACATGGGCACTTTGAGTGGGCAATACTTCACACTCTGCTCTTCTCTCTCGCTCACATGTTTGATGCACTCTCATGAGAAAACAACGAGTTCCTGACTCCTTTTCTTTTAAGAAACAGAAAGGCACCATGGTCTCAAGGCCTGGCAGCGGCCGGGACCCGCGAAGCCCTGAAACTCGTCCTCATGGTCCACGGGCCCAAAGCAGACCTCGGAGCAAAAGAGAGAAGAAAAAGAGGCAGAGCAGAGCGATGCAGTTTGCGATGTTCAACAGGGAAGAGAGTCTGCAGTGAAGAGCAGATGGAGCACCCGCGCCTCGTGGCAGAGCTGGCCACGCAGCTCCACGGGCCTCTGCACTTGCCGGCGGCGGCCGCTTGAGCGCAATGGTCGAGCTGTAAGTATGTGGGAGACACACTCGAAAGGGTGCCTTCTGGAATCCGCCCACAGCAAATGTTATGTCATGATGTTGGAGACAAAAAAAGTCTTAAGGCACTACTTGGCACCCTGCACTTGCCAGCGGAGGACAACCTTCATGAGATAGTCGCCCAAGAGCAGCTTCACCTGGCGGATGCCTCTATATGCCGAGTTATGCCGCTATGCGATATCCGTCATACCAAGACGAAGAGCCTGTGGGCGCTGGAGTTGCCCAGTGCCCAGTAAGGGCAGGAAAGGGTGCGGCGCAACCTGAGAAGAAGCTTCTGTCGTGACCGCCTGACCGCCATAAACACACGCCCTTCCACTCATTGGCTCATGTCCGAAGCCAATGTAAGCCAGCTTGCACAGGCAAAGATGGCAGAGAATGCGGACAGCATCGTGAGATCCAGCTGGCTGAACCTCAGCTCGGATGTCGTCTGCTCCCTCACACACAAATTGACCGACAGTCGATAGGGTTTACATCGGTGCACATTGCCACGGCACACATCCATGAGATTGAGATGAGCTGCTCTAGACTTGGCTGCTGCTGGCCGTCTGGAGACCATATCCGGCGATTCACGAACTTGGCCTCGAGGGAACATAAGATTCGCAAGCGCATGTGTCTTGTTTTTTGGAAAACTGAGACAAGGAGACTCAAATGTTTGGCTCTCTCTCTCTCTCTCTGACCATCTTGAAACCGGAGTCGCTCTCTCTCTCTCTCTCTCTCTCCCTCCCTCTCTGCTCCCTCTCTCTCTCTCACTCAAAATTGCCGAGCACGCGCTCTGCATTTGAGAATCGCTCACTCACTCTAACTCGTGATCGGGCCCCATGAGACACTTCCGTTGGACGCAATTTACCCCGAGCATGGAACACGCAGTATTTCGATATGATGGCCCTTCTGCTTGTGCGGTGGCTCGGGTCCAAGACTGGCACCCCGTGGTGGATATTTGCCTCAAGGCTCTTGCATGCTCTTGCTTTCATTAGTAAATGTTGCGAAGAATTCGAAGCCTTTTTCGGGCCCTGTAGGGGCGCGGGAACAACTCGACTCAGCCCTCTGTTGAAAACAAGACCCGAGCCGTAGCAACGTGTATACAGTGTTTCAGGGCCCACCCTTGCCTGAAGACATCCCCTGCGGACTACATGCAACAAGGGCAAAAGCAGAGCACCCTTCTGAAGTTGTTGCAAACCTGATGAATGTTAGGGAACTTTAACTTACTTAGGGGATACGGCAAGATTCCTCTTGTTCGCCTCCTTCCTCCTCAGATCTCGCTCTTTGCCCTTCCTCTCAACGCTGCACTTGGCCCGCAGCCACGGCCAGCACATTGCCCCCAGCCTGAGTTTCGCGCAGCATGTCCTTTCATGCTCGTGCTCCATAGCGTCATGTCTAGTCACTCAGTCTCGCTGGCGATCAGATGACTCAGATGACCTGCTCAAGGACTCACAAGCGGACCACGGGCCCCAGGGGCCCCAGGGGCCCCAGCGTCGAAGAGTGGAACCGCTGCGAGGCAACGTAGGCCTCCACCAACCTCGGCTTCAGTTTTTGTAAAAACCGGCTGCCCGCAGAACTATCAATGGCATATGGCACTACGGGACACGATATTCTCCCCTTTAAAGGGTTTGCTTCACTGGCTTAACAGTGGCTGGCCATTGCTGCGTCGCTGGGGTCAGGGCATTGCAAGCTCGGCACGTGGCTCGACCCGCGCTGGGAGAGTCACAGTGGGACTGGACCACCTGTGCTGAGAAAATCTGAGAAATCACCAGAACTCTCTCTGGTGTCCTTCATGCTTGCCCCATCTCTTTTGCTGTCCTCCCCCCCACAATGGTGTGAGTGCGAGTTTGATAACAACCACTTGCAAGCATGTGCAAACACACCTCGTAGCGGTCCCAATTCCGCCGCACAGCCTCCTGGGAAGGAATGACCTCTTCGTCGGTTGAGAACAGAGACAAAGCTGAAAAATTAGCAAAAGTCAAAAGGCCCCTCCGGCCCCTGCGGCCCTCCGGCCCGCCTGGATGCGCTGCGTGAGGGCGGCGTGGCCTTCGATCCGCTCCGCTGGCCAGCGGTCGACGGTCGTCACGGCGATGACCCGCCGCCGGGCCTGAGAAAAACAAAGCACTTGAGAAAAAGAAAACAGTCCTGCCAAAGTCCTCAAAGGCTGCAATCCTCAAAAAACTTCTCAGACTTGCCATGTCCTCCCGAAAGTTGATTCGAAAAGTTCCCGCGGGGTCCTCGCGGTCGTGTGAGCCCAAGGAAGTAACTTGTGGAGGAGCGATGCAGCGCACGACGATCTTGACCTCTTCGCAGGGGACCAGGTTCCGCAGCGGCTCCAGCAAGAACGACCAGACGTCGATGTTGGTGCGGTGCTCGTAGAGGCGCAAGACTGCCAGCATCAGGGCACTCAGTGAAGGATGTGAGGGAGGACCAGGCATGCGTTCAGAGAGGGGTCGCCTCGAGAAACCTCGAGGGGGTTGGGCCGGCTGGGATGGGTGTCGGCCGCCTTGGGCCCCTTGGCCCTGGCTTTGGTTCTGGCCGTTCTGGCGCGGGTTCCGCGCCGAGCGCGGCCGCTCGGGCCGCTCAGGCCGCTCACATCGCTCGGGCCTGCGCCAGTCGCGAGCCTCGGCCCTCTCCTCGAGCCCGTACCCGGGCCCGCAGCGCGGGCCGGGCATGTAACTCCCGGGAACGTTCCCATGGCACCCACAGCCGCTGTGGCCGCTGTGGCCCGCGGGCACGGCAAGCGGCTCCGTCTCCTCGAAGCGGTTGCGGGGCGGCACCGGGACCCGTCGCCCTTCCATTGAAATGGGCACATGTGCAAGCTCCACGGAACGACCACCACTGGATGTTTTACGTAGCACCTTAAGCCAAGGCTGGCCTTGCTAGCTTCCAGCTCGTGTTGCATGGTCAACTGATGATGTGAACTCCTGTCGGTAAGTGAGTTAAGGTCAGACGTGGTTAACTTCTGTCTGTGGTGATCATGTCACCGTGCCCACTTTTTGAGCACTGCAAGGCTCACAGTCAGGCACAGATGCCGAAACGTGTCAATGCCTGAAGCTGCCAAACAACTGCAGAATGGTGTGGCGGATCTCTTTTCGCGTCATGGACTCGGCTGGTCTTTTTGATGACTCCTGCGCAGTGCTCATCCCTGGGCATCGGCCAAGGGAGCATTGAGCATTGCGTTCGTGGCTTGGGCAACTTGAGCAACTTAAGCACCTACTTTTAGCGACTTTAGCAAAGTTGCTCATCACTTGAGCCGCTTGACTCCGACTCCGACTCCGACTTGTCTGCGTGCTTGCTCAGCGCCACGCGCAGGGAGTGCTTGTCTTCATGGATGCTGCCTTCCAGATGCTTGGCGACTGTGATGAAAGTGTCGACCGCCCCATGCATGAGCTTCAAGGCTGCTGCGGCTCTAAGGCCACCGAGCTTTTGGGACTCCCCCACGAGCCCACCATTCCGCTGCCTGGCAGAGGCTGCCCCAAGAAAGACCTGCTCCAAGCGTTGCTCCAGCTGTTCCAGCTCCTTGTGGGGCCACTTGGCTGCTTTGGCCTCCCCACAGCCCTCGGGCGCCAGGCGTGCTGCGATGCGCTCCACCGCCCGGTCCAGCAATGCGGCCAAATCCGAGGCCTCGTTTCCCAAAGCCGACACTAAGCGCTCATCCTCCAAGGGCCGATGCGCACCCTCCTCCAAGCCCGGCTCCAGGACATGGCAGAGCATGTTGGTGATCCGCATGAGCCGCGACACCGCGATCACCGCGTTGATGCAACGGCGCCCAGGCACAGAAGGCGCCCAACCCGGAATCCATAGACTCTTCCCTAGAATCAGGAAGCCGGCATCCACGCCCCAGCGGCTCTCCCAGAGCGCCTCTTCGAGCAAGTCTCCCTTACCGGGGTGCCCATCTCCTGCAAACTGGAAATCCTCGACGGACTTCCAGGTGTCTTGCTTCAACTGCTCCCATTTCTCCAATGTTACGGCGTGCTCTTTCCGGGCACCTTTGGCCCAAAGCGCTCTGCCGGCTTCCTTGATCGCTTCGGCCGCAGTCCGCATGGCCGTCGCCTCACGCATGCGGAGCTGGTCCACCGCCCTGTCCGGCGCAATGAAGACATTGGCCACCATGGCCAGCACCACGCCGGCGGCGACATCCACACAGCGCCGCAGGGCGGTGGACTCTGCAACTGGCATCACTGGCGCGCCGTCTGGCTCCGTCTTCTCGGAATCGATCAAGGTCAGGAGCACGACCAAGTAGGTGACGAACGTGATGGCGCCGGCAAACTGCAGCTCGGGCTCGTAGAACTTCATGAGAAGTGCCAGCAAGCAGACGTGAGGCGTCAGCTCTGGGAAGAAGGGCCAGGACCCCACGGCGGCCACAGATGCCAGCGCGAGAGCGGAGCCCACAGCCGTGCCTACCATACGCCGCAGGCCCCGTAGCAAGGAAGCTCCTTCTCACTGAATTGACGGAGAAAGAAGGCGGGAGGCGGGAGGTGTGGGCTTTTTTCAGTGTTCTTTGGAAAAGTAATAAATGTCGCTTTCTTGAATGCAGCGGGTCTCTTTTTGCTTTCTGCAGCTGTTTGTGACGGAGACCTGTCTAACCTTTTTGCTCTCTTGGCTGTTGCAAAAAGCATGGCATGCTTCCTCCTACTCAACGAAAATACAGGAACTTTGATCAAGCCTAACTCCAGAAAAAACACTTAAGGCGGGCTGACCCCCCTCCTTCCATTGGCATGATGCCCATAGCCACCGTCAGCAATGTCCAGAGACCGTTGTCATTCTTCTCCAAGCGCTTCAGCACGTAGGTCACGAAGAAGCCTGTCAGCATCACCGCGATGCCGAGGCGCAGCGCATGGGACCGGCCCTTCGCAAAGCCTTTTCTCCAAGCTTCTCTTCCAGCACACGGCACCCGTAGCCAGCTTCGGGTTCCGCTGAAGCTCGGCCCAACCAAAGCACAGAGCCGCCAGGGGGGACAGTCCTCCGGCTCGGAGAGGCGCGTCGCGATCAGCTCCGTGCAGGCGGCGGCAGCCTCCGCAGCGGCCTTCACCCCCAGGACGCAGCAGCCGTGTCGGCAAGCCTCGTCAAAGCCAGCCACGAGAGCTGCCTCAAAAGAATCTGCAGAATCCAAGTGATGAGCCCCTTTCAAATACAGGTCGACGAGGCCCATAAAGGAGATCTCGTTGATGTCGTCAATGTCATCAATGTCGATGGAACGGGCCGAGTAAGACAGTTGCTGCAGTTGCTGCCGGAGTGCCTCCTCCGCATTGCTCCTCCACTGGGGGTCGTGCGACGCCGAAAGCTGGCCCTCCATGTAGTGGTTGAGACTCTTGCGACACTGCTGGGCCACCTCCCTGCAGTCCTCCTTCGTCGCCAGATCGGCACCCATCCAGGATGCTGAAGTGAGGAAGGCATCATCGGACTTACTGGAAAGCGAACTCAGTGTCGCCGCTGCCGCTCGAAGAGCGTGAGCAGAGGCAAAGCACACGTCACGAAACCGCTCCCCCATTTCTCCTCGGTAGAAAGTATCCAAGGTTACGTTGCCCAAGCCAGCGCACAGCATGCTCGACTTCATCTGCAGAGATAGGCGGCACCTCTCTGCCAGTCGCATTAGCACTTTCGAAGGGTCCTCTTCATCCTCGCTTTCTTTCTTCAGGATCCTGAGCTCTGTCGCCTCAAAGTTTGCGGATTTCATGGCGGCCGCCAGCTGCTCTCCGGAGGCCAAGAGCCTCAGACGGCACTGGCGATGACGCTGCAGGGCAGCAGGGGTCGGCAGCCGAAAGATCGCGGTGGCCTCAAACATCTCTGCCAAGGCTGAAAGCTTTGCAGCAGTCAACGATGGCACCTGCTCCTGCGCGGGTGTCGCACCCAATCCACAGGGGAAGTAGCTAACAGCCACCCCGCTCAGCGTTCCGACCAAGAGCGACGCGCACATGCCTGCGCCGAGCATGAGCATCTGCTCTTGTGATGCAGGGCTTAAAGCGATGACATTCATCAGCAGTGCCACCACAACAGCTGCTGCATTCCCTGCTAGTAGTGGCTTCGGCGCTTGCAACTCAGCAGCCACTGCTGCCCAGATCACGACAAGGCTTGAAGTGAGGCCCATGCTTATGCACACCAGCCAGGGCCGCCACTGCATGCCACCCACGAGAAAGCACAAATAGAAAGTTGCAACCCCAAGTGGGAATAACAGGATGGTAGACATCACCCACATAAGGCCAGCTGCACAGCTGTCTCCGCGTCGAGCTGCCGGTGCCAGGAAAGCCAAAATCACTGCCAGCCCCGTGGTCGACATCTGAGGCAAACCCAAAGGCCGGATCACCAGCCATCCAGCGGCGGCCACGAACAGCACCGCCAGGGCTGTGCGGAAGGCGAGCGTGGCCCGCTCTCGGCTCGACAACTTCGGCATGGCGATGTTTGGATAAAGGTCTGATAAAGAGAGAACGCACAGAAGAACCGCAAAATGTGTGTGTGTGTGTGCGCTTCATCGTGATTCATCGTGTCGCCGTCCATGAGAATGGCAACTAGCTTCGAAAGCCTTGCCTGATTACGTCAGTACGAATGTGTCAACGTGTTTGGGTGCTGCTGGCAATATGTTTAACAAAGGCTTGGCGAGAGAGATGTCAGAGTGCCATCAGAGCCGCGAGATACCAAAAGGAAAACACGGGAAACCTGCCCAAGTCAAGTCGCAATCAATAGCCGGGCCTCTCCCTTGGAAACGGCAATAGAATTGTTAAAGCTGCTCCAACAGCCTGGTGTCTGGCGCATTTTGTGCAGTATGATTTAGGTTCCCTGGAATTATGAGGCTGACATGGCTGACAGATCCCGAAACGCGACATGGCTGAAGAAGGTGCTCAAAAATAGTGTCAGACTGCCTCTAGCTGAATATTGTGGCGGAGCCTTTTTGAAGTAGCTGCGGCAGACTCTGGTGGTCTGCAAGTCCAGTCTTGGGATTCTCAGGATGTTGCCGCCACAACTCCTGCTAGGCGCTCGTCTCTGGGGATCGCTGCCAAGGGCACCTTATGCAACGTGGGCAGATCGCTGCAAACTTCCACGAGTCCAATATAGTCCAAGAAAATGTGCTGTGCCCAGGCGAAACCTCCTCCAACTGATGTTCCCCAACTGAGCATACTTTTTAGACCTTTCGCGGGGACATGGGCAGTCCGGCTCCCAACAGGCCCCCCCAAGTGCTCAACCTGTTGGTCTCAGCTGACTGTGACCGCCTGTACTTCTTCTCTCTCTCATTGCCCAGCTCGAATTCCAACTGACCAACGGCCTAGAGCTGCTCCACCACTTCCCCGCGGCAGCCTTCCCCTTCCCGAGCGACATCTAGAGCAGCTGGAGCCCCCAAAACAAAATGTGGTGGCCACAACCCAAGAACCGAGGCGATCACAAAGGCGTCCTTCGCCAGCAGCGCCACCGCTGCGAGGAATCCCAGCGCCGCAACTGGTGGCAAAAAAAGGGTCAGTGCGGATTCTGCTTTCGTTTGAGGTCGGCTCAAACGTCTGCAGCACGCCTGCAACCGTACTGTCGAGGAACTGCCCCTGACCTCTCAGGACAGTGCAGAGAAAAGCGTAGGAAGCAACAAGAAAGAGGAGGCACAAAAGAGAAGGGATGATTTTTACCTCTCCCCTTCCCTTCCCTTGGGGCCACGACGATTGACGCCAAAGGTTGGAACTTCTCTCCGGCACTTGCCCTCGCGGCTCGAGGAACCGCAAGGAGGCGAACCGGCCAAAGTGCAACAGAAAGAGGGCGCTCGCAGAAGGGGGGGGAAAAAACAAGGTGCTTCTCTGTGATTCTTTGTGCTTGCTTTGGTTTTTGCATCGCAAAACACTTCCCCAAACCCATTCTTGAGAGATGCATTTACAGGAATTGGAGATCGGCAGCCCATCACCCGATCTCTCTACCTCCTCTCGCTCGCAGATCCTTGGCAACAAGGCCAACACACGGAAAAGAGACTCATTGTATCAGCCATCATGCGGTTCATACACTAGCAGCAGATTTGAAGCCCTTCCAAACATATTCTTTAAATGGAGCAGCATAAGGAAGACGCAAAGATAATGGGATGATGGTTAAGTGGCAATAAGTGCACAACTGAGCCAAACGCACTCCCACTCTGACACTGCTGAAAGACCCCCGACCCCTAAAACTTGTAAAGCCAAGGGTTTCTCAACCTTTAAGTGACCAAACCAACCCTTTGACTGACATGGAAGCGTCCACGGCTCTGATACGGGACGCGGCCTCAGAAACATTACATTCCAGGGTTTTGAGCTCCTCTGCCTTCTTTTCCTCGCTTGGAGTGATAGTGCAACTCTCTCTCCCTATATATGGGCGATGGAACGGGTGTCCTGTTTGATCATTTTCTGCTCGTTTGAAGACACAGCAAGCGATTAAACGGGACGCCCATTTTGCATCGGCAGCACCCAGCTGACGCTCATGATTTCTCTCTCCCCATATATGGGCGATGGGGCGGGTGTCTTTTTGGATCGTTTTCTGCATCTTCAAGCGAGGAAAAGGGACACCACAAGAAACACCTAGTCAGGGTGTCCCTTTTGCTCGTTTGAAGACACAGAAACCGATTAAAAGGGATGCCCATTTTGGATCGGCCGCAAACCCAGCTGATGCTCATGATTTCTCTGTCTCTATATATGGGCGATGGAACGGGTGTCCTTCCTGATCGCTTTCGGCATCTTCAAGGGAGAAAGAAGGCACCACCCAAGAAGGAAAAGTAACATCAGATATAGGGAGGGAAATTGAAGAACTCCTCTCTTTACTTAGTCCTTCCCTTTCCTCTCTTCTTATCTGTTGTTTTCTTCGCTTCAAAATGCAAAATGAGGGAAACGAGATCTCCTGAAGAGGAGGGAAGGCACCTATCTGTAAAGAGCAATCGTTTAGAGGGAAACAGGATAGGAGGAGGGAGAGAGAAGGAGAGAGGAGAGAGGAGAGATAACAGGAATCCAAAATACAATGGAATAGCAAAGAAAAAAATAGAAGAGATATGAATAGAGAAGAGGGAAAGACAAAACAAGGCGCAGAGAAGATGGCACTCTTCTTTATTTATCCTCCCTCCCTTATCTCTCCCTTCCCTCTTTCTTTTCGAAATAAGAACAACTAAAAAGGAAGAACTATGAAAAGGAGAAGAGTAAGGAAAAGAGCAGAAGAGATAGGCCAGAAGAGGGATATCATGAAGTACGGCAGGGTCCACGCGCAAGGAGTCACCCTCTGCTTTACCTTCCACTGCTTTATCATACAAGTCCCTTTCTTGTGGTTTATCAGTTACAAAGAAACTAGAAGGAGAGAAGGGAAAGGGAAGTGAGAGAGGAGAGAGATGACAAGGATGCCATTTTTCTGGAAGCGTGCTGCCGTGTTTTGCAGAAAACAGGGCGGTTCAACAGTACCAAATTTTCAAGACAACCCTCTAAGAAAATTTGGTACTGTTGAACCGCCTCGTTCTAAAGGAAACAGGGCGGTTCAACAGTACCAAATTTTCAGAGACAACCTCTGAGAAAATTTGGTACTGTTGAACCACCAGGGCGGTTCAACGGTACCAAAGTTTCAGAGACAACCTCTAAGAAAATTTGGTACTGTTGAACCGCTGTGTTTTAAAGAAAACAGGGCGGTTCAACAGTACCAAATTTTCAGAGACAACCTCTAAGAAAATTTGGTACTGTTGAACCGCCTTGTTTTGAAGGAAACAGGGCGGTTCGAAGAGGGATATGATGAAGTACGGCAAGGTCCACGCGCAAGGAGTCACCCTCTGCTTTACCTTCGACTGCTTTATCATGCAAGTTCCTTTCTTGTGTGTTATCAGTTAAAAAGAAACAAGAAGGAGAGAAGGGAAAGGGAAGTGAGGGAGGAGAGAGATGACAAGGATGCCATTTTTCTGGAAGCGTGCTGCCGTGTTTTGCAGAAAACAGGGCGGTTCAACAGTACCAAATTTTCAAGACAACCTCTAAGAAAATTTGGTACTGTTGAACCGCCTCGTTCTAAAGGAAACAGGGCGGTTCAACAGTACCAAATTTTCAGAGACAACCTCTGAGAAAATTTGGTACTGTTGAACCGCCAGGGCGGTTCAACGGTACCAAAGTTTCAGAGACAACCTCTAAGAAAATTTGGTACTGTTGAACCGCCGTGTTTTAAAGAAAACAGGGTGGTTCAACAGTACCAAATGTTCAGAGACAACCTCTAAGAAAATTTGGTACTGTTGAACCGCCTTGTTTTGAAGGAAACAGGGCGGTTCGAAGAGGGATATGATGAAGTACGGCAAGGTCCACGCGCAAGGAGTCACCCTCTGCTATACCTTCCACTGCTTTATCATGCAAGTTCCTTTCTTGTGTGTTACCAGTTAAATAAAAAGAAACAAGAAGGAGAGAAGGGAAAGGGAAGTGAGAGAGGAGAGAGATGACAAGGATGCCATTTTTCTGGAAACGTGCTGCCGTGTTTTGCAGAAAACAGGGCGGTTCAACAGTACCAAATTTTCAAGACAACCTCTAAGAAAATTTGGTACTGTTGAACCGCCTTGTTTTAAAGGAAACAGGGCGCTTCAACAGTACCAAAATTTCAGAGACAACCTCTAAGAAAATTTGGTACTGTTGAACCGCCTTGTTTTAAAGGAAATAGGGCCTTTTCCTTCCTTATTGCAACAGGAGAAGACAGGAAAAGGGCTTCCATTCCCCTCTTGTTCTTTCTTTCTTGTGTGTTTGTCATTTAGAGGGGAACAGGAGAAGCGGAGGGAGAGAGAAGGAGAGAGGAGAGAGGAGAGATAACAGGAATCCAATTTCAATGGAACATCAAAGAAAGAATCGAAGAGAGATGAATAGAGAAGAGGGAAAGACAAAACAAGGCGCTGAGAAGATGGCACTCTTCTTTATCTATCCTCCCTCCCTTATCTCTCCCTTCCCTCTTTCTTTTCGAAATAAGAACAACTAAAGAGGAAGAACTCTGAAAAGGAGAAGAGTAAGGAAAAGAGCAGAAGAGATCGGCCGAGAAGAGGGATATCATGAAGTACAGCAAGGTCCACGCGCAAGGAGTCACCCTCTGCTTTACCTTCCACTGCTTTATCATACAAGTCCCTTCAAAGAAACAGAAGGAGAGAAGGGAAAGGGAAGTGAGAGAGGAGAGACAACAAGGAGGCCATTGTATTTTTCTGGAAGGGTACTGAACAGAAGAGAGGAGTCAAGAAACAAGGAGACGGAGGAACATAACAAGGCGCAAAGAAGATGGCACGCTTCTTTATCTATCATCTCTCCCTTCCATTTTCAAAGATTTCAAAGATTTCAACCATTTAAATCATTTAAGCGATTTAAAAGATTAAAAAGATTCTATTTCGCCCGAATTTAAATATTTAAATCTGAAGCCTCTTGGGAAGGTTCAGATTTCAAATTCCCGCCCGAATGTAAATCTTCTAAATCTTTTAAATCTTTTAAATCCTGGGGGCGGGAGGGGGCCTGCCCCCCCCCCACCCCTTAAAAGAGCGCCCGAATGTAACCCTTTTAAATCTGAAGCCTCTTCCCGGGAGGCTTCAGATTTAAAAGATTTAAAAGATTGACGGGAGGGAAATCTTTTGAATCTGTTACATCTTTTCCCCCCCCCCCCCCCCCCCCCCCCCCCCCCCCCCACCCCAGGATTCAAAAGATTTAAAAGACATAAAAGATTTCAAAGATTTAACTTCCCGCCCCTGGAGCTAAACTAGGGTCTATTTGGAAGATAAGTGTACGTTTTGGGGTCTATTTTCCTCTTGTAAATACAAGTGCCAGCCAAGGTTTGAGAGCTGGCATCTGAAGAGTATGACTTTTAGAAAGCCTGGCAGTGAACCTCCGACGAAACTCCAGTAACAGTTTTGAAGCGCGGGCCTTAGACAACGTGCAAACTGAGGATCTGATCGGTCTGTATGCAAGTGCGACTGCGGCGTTCGATGGGGTGAGTTTGTTTATGTTTCGTTGGTGGCCGTCCGCTGCTACTAAGGTGGGGGTCCGAGTCTGTTTCGCTCCGGCTTGATGTTTGAGTCCGCTGTTATACCAGAGATTCACCAATGATCAACCCTCGTGGTTTCAACAAGTGTGTGTGTGTGTGTGTGTGTGTGTGTGTGTGTGTGTGGGATAAAAGTGTTTCTCCGCACGCTGTGTCGCATTCTCTTTGCTCTATGAAGTATACAACCTTCTTACCTGACATGCCCTTAGGAAGGGAAGGAACATCTGCATGCTCCCGTGTCTGTTTGCCGGTGTCTGTCCCTGCTTCTCTTTGCCTGTTTTCTTTTCTTGGGGCATCTGGGTGCCTTCATGTTTTTCTCCGCACTCTTGCTCTCCCTTTCCCTCTCCCTCCCAGACTGGCTCAAGTGGGTGAGGCCGGTGGACGGGAACCTAAGGCGCGAGGCTCAAGGCGCGAGGCTCAAGGCGCTGCTCTGGGTCCCCGGACCTTCGGGAGAAGAACAAGGCACAGCGCCCTCGGTGGACAGGAGCATGACACCTTCAAGTTGTGCACGTGTTGCCGCTGAATCTGCACAACTCGCGCCATACATGTTCTGATGCTTCGTCCCTCTTGCGAATTCTCGAAAACGTCGTTGTGGTCTTTTCGTTTCAACGACTGACTGTGCTCAACTCTCAGGCCCTTCACTTGTTTCTGGGGCCTGCTTTTCCTACTTTAGTTCTCCGGTGCTTTGTTCTCCTGCTTTCTTTTCTCCGAGGGGCAGGGCCAAGTTCGCCAGGAGGACCCCGCAGAAGCTGCTCTGACGGGTCCTGCATGCCCTACGCCGAAAACGAAGCCGAGCCTCCCTTGTCACAGAAACCCCGTCAGTGCGTATCATTTACAAGCCCTAAGTCGTGAAAGCAAAGCCGCTCCACGTCTTCTTCTTCAGGGCCCGCAAAGAGAGACTCAACCCTCAATGCAGATCAATTCAGACAAGGATCTACGACGTAAATGATACGTGTGCAATATTGCATTAATTAAACTATGACAGTCTCCTCGTGGCGCAGGAGAGAGCGGCCTCGGGATTCGGCGCTCAGAAAGGTCCTCCCTCAGCACTCTCCGAGTGTCTTTGCAAGCACACTCCCTTGAATTTGACTCTGAGTCTTCCCCAGCCTTCCCGAGCCTTCCCGAGCCTTCCCCTCCCCCACTTTGCTTTTTTACATTCTTCCCCCCTACTTCTCGCAGACCACCTTACCCAGAAGCCTTGGCTCGGGGGCCTCGGGGGCCTTCTTCTCTCTGTATGGTAAGCCTACGCATGTTTAGAGACTCTTTGTACTCTTGCTCTGAGTCTGACAAGCTCCCTGCCTCTTTTGCTGGGGCCTCGGCAAAGGCCACAAGGCTGAGCGCTGCCGTCAAAGCCACGGCAAACAGACCCGCGCCTGGAAGCACATGGGCACTAGATGGGCACACGATGCCTGCTTAGCTTCATGCCATCCCCCATCCTCCCACGAGGAATAATTCAGGATGGCCAAGCACACTGCAGCTTTTGCATAAAAGCACGGACTTCTACGAGCAAGGCCCTAAGGCCTCCGTATCCCCAACAAACCGTGTGTACAGACTTTCGAAACGTCCCTGAGGTCTCCAACGATGCTACAAGCTCCCTCTCGAAGCCCCGCCGCCAAACCTGAACAGCTCCGGGATGAACCTTCCTGCAACATCAAGGTTAATTTGGGAGCCAGGCCTACACCAAGAACTCTCACCTCTTCAAACGGCGTAGAGCCGATTGGACATTCCATCCGACCTGCCCAAGAACAGCGAACAACACTTTGACAATAAACAGACATGGCCCAATGGCGAAAAATGAGCCTCAGGTGATGGCGAGGACCGGCGAGGAGCCCTCGCTGAGGAGCCCTCGCTGGACTCCTGCGTCCCCTTTACCCCTTTCCACCCCCCTGTCGAGCCGAGAGGAAGCCGAGCCGCAGGGAGCCCACTGAAGGAGCACGGTGCGTGGAGGTGCGGCATCTTGCCCATCCTCTATGACTCGATGCACGCGCTCTTTTCAAATCAGCTCTGCTTCGAGTAGGCTCCCTTTTCAAGGGCGCGGAGATGGAGAGACTGCGTTAGACCTCAAACCTTGTTGGGCTGTGGCGGCTGTGGCAACTCCTTCGTTTCTTTGCCAAGCTCGACCAGGGCAGCTCCCGATAAGACGATCGCCGATCCCACGACCACGGTCATGGAGAGCTTCTCGTTCAAATAGCCCACAGAGATCGCCTGCACAAGCTGAGCTTGTAGCTAGAAGATGCTCTAGCTCCATCGTTTGGCTTCATCTGTCCTCACCCAGCCTCTTTTTGTCACGCACTGGACACGATGCGGAAGGGTTAAGACGGTTAAGGCGGTTAAGACGGTTAAGACGGCCAGGACAGCCGAGGCGCCCCGACGCAGATGGTATTCAGCTTGCCGAGGATCTGTTGGGAGCTTGCCTCGGAGCCAAAATCTGAACATGCACAGACTTAGCATCTTACGACTTGGCGGCCTCCACAACTCACTCCAAGGCACCCCCAGCTCCTTGAGTGCCAGGACTCCTGCACCAAGCCCTCCCGAAATCCACCCACCTAACGTACGATGTTGGTGATGCCCGCAGATCAGATTCGTTGAACGCATCAGCAGCAGATTGCTACAACATGCTGTTCATGGTGGCTAGTGGGCAGATGCCCGAGCAACAAAATTATTCTTCTGTCGTTCCCCCTCCCTCTCTCTCTCTGCTTCAATTCTCGTAAACCATGGTTTTTCTCGCGTGCTTTCTTGCAACAAACGGGGTCTTTCGGGCCTCCTCACAATAGATTCTTCGCTAGCGATGAACTGTGAACTTCTCTCTTCCTCTCTTCCTCTCGCCCTCTCTCCCTCTCTCCCTCTCGCTCCCTCGCTCCCTCGCTCCCTCGCTCCCTCGCTCCCTCGCTCCCTCGCTCCCTGCCCCTCTCCCGCCCCTCTCCCGTCCCCTCTCTCGGGTCCCTCTCTCGTCACCTCTCTCGTCCCCTCTCTCGTCCCCTCGCTCGTCCCCTCCCTCGTGCCCTCCCTCGTCCCCTCCCCCGTCCCTCCCCCGCCCCTCCCCCGCCCCTCCCCCGCTCCTCTCTCGTCCCTCTCTCGTCCCTCTCTCGTCCCTTTCTCGTCCCTCTCTCGTCCCTCTCTCTCGTCCCTCTCTCGTCCCTCTCTCTCCCTCTCTCTCGTCCCTCTCTCGTCCTCTCTCTCGTCCTCTCTCTCGTCCCTCTCTCTCTCGTCCCTCTCTCTCGTCCCTCTCTCGTCCCTCTCTCGTCCCTCTCTCGTCCCTCCCTCGTTCCTCTCTCTCGTCCCTCTCTCTCCTCCCTCTCTCGTCCCTCTCTCGTCCCTCTCTCGTCCCTCTCTCATCCCTCTCTCGTCCCTCTCTCGTCCCTCTCTTCCTCTCTTCCTTGCTTTCGTCCTTCCTTCCTTCCTCCCTCCCTCCCTTCCTTCCTTCCTCCGCACATGGTCGCGTGAAGGCGCTGCTTGAAGTGACTTCCCCCCCCCCCCCCCCACTCAACTCCCCGCGCACAGCACTCGGGCCGCTCTCTCCCGCTCTCGCTCTCTCTCTCTCTCTCGCTCTCGTTTCTCTCGCTCTCGCTCTCACCACTTCTGTTGCATGGTTCGGTACGTGGGAGTGGCCCTCTCTCTGTCTCTCTTTCCCTGTCTGTCCCAGAAAGTTCAGGGAGACGGCGCTGAGGCAGGTCAGGAAGATCAAGAGGGCAGACTGGGACGTGAGCTCCAGGAAGGCCATCTGGAAGCTGTCTGTGCAAACTGCGTAGAGAAAGGCCGTCAGCACGCACCAGGGTGCTTGCAAGGAATAAAGCTGCATAGGGCTCAGCGGCACTTCCGTCAGCGGGGTCAGTTCCGAAGCATACTCCATCGGCGCCAGAAGGAAATCCATGACCACAATTTTCAGAGAGCGAGTGCCAACGGAGGCCAGCGCAAAGAGAATTCCTATGAGGGTCCGCTGCGGTGCGGCCTGGGATTGGATGGACTTCACTTCGCCCGCTGCGATGACCAGAGCACCCGAGAAGGCCAGCCAGATGCCCCCCCAGGACATCCAGCTCAGCCGCCGACCTCTGAAAACAAAGCTTTCGCGCACCCTGCAATGCCCTGCAATGCCCTGCAATGCCGCACTCTCACCTGTTTTCAGAGCAGATCGGAGAGCGCGATGCTTCAGTTTTCCCCGAGTCCCTAAATCATGGGGCCTGGTCTGAAAGCACCATCAAGTTGCGCTTCGGGGCTGCGCTTTGAACCCGGCTACCCAAGATCAAGACGCCCCCGAATAGAAGCGATTGACATCAAGCGAACAGAAGAGGCGAACACACAAAAACAAGAGCTCCGCAAATGGCGAGGTCCAGCTGAGCTTGTGGCCAACTGCAAAAGACAGCACGGCCACACTCACCTTGATGCAGAAGCATATGGCATGAAAAACTCCTGCAAATGGCATGCTGCACTTGTTCATACTGATGGAAGTCGAGGAAATGGGAAAACCTTAACACTTAAAACCATGTCAGACCTTGCCAGGCCGCGGGGGAAAGAGTGCCTAGAATGGCACAGACCCCGGCTCCAGCGTACACCAGGGCAGTGTTGTTGAATATCACCGTCAGGGGATTGCTCAAGGCGATTGGAACGATATTCCGGACAAACCACTCATTCGTGCGTGCTTCACTGACGTCAGCCTTGCTCCCAGAAACGGACCAGTAGGCACAGCAGGTGAGCCACACACAGAAGAAGTGAAGGGTGGTGACGGCACCTCTGCCAGGCGGAGAAGCGGACGTTTAAACGCACTCGTGTGACGAAGACTTGCAATGCACCTGGATGCTTGTAGAACGAGCTCAACCTGCGCACTGCAGGACGTGAGAATGTCCAGTTCCTAAAGAGGACATACACAACCATCCCCCAACCTGCTCATCAGGATCTGCGTGCTGACCAAACTGGCCACAAATAAGCCTTACTTGTACGAATGTCAGCTTCTTGGACATCTGCATCTTCCATGACTCTTTCATGCTGAGAAGCACGTTGCTGTAACAACATAAGGACCGCGTTTTCGAAGGATGAAGCAGATGGCCAAGAAGATCCCTCCTGCAGCACGCTGGCGCATGCGGACAGGCATGTGCTGGCATTTGTCGAAATGTGGAAATTGCCCTGAAGCACGTGGTGACGTGAAGCACTCCTGTGACGGCTGCAGCAGAATGCTGCAAAGCAGAGGGCTGCAAGTCCGCCAAGGCCATTGGCTAGTTACGGGTTGCTCGGAAGCTACCCGGAAGCATAAAGCGTGACAGAAAATAGAGCGTTCGCCTAGCCCCAGGCGCCTGCAGTGATCACAATGTGAACGAAAAGCTAGCAAGATTCTGGAGCTCAAGAAGCTCTACACACTATGCCCCGAAGGCTTAACCTTTATTGTGAGAAATTCCCGCGTCGTCTGCAGGCAGCGTTAAAGATTCGCACCAAGCCCCCGAATCGCTTTTCTGCCAGGGTTTCAGGGTCTAAGGACCTCGGGTTGAACAGCACACGCTTCCGGATTCGGAATAACTCCGGTATGCGTCTCGCCGCAAAAGACAAGGAGGCGACAGTGAAATGCATCCGGGTGTTGCATCTGGTGCATCGGCCCTGGTGGCTTTTCATCTGGTACGGAATCTTGGCAAGTTGGGCCCTCTACAGAGGTTCCATATTTCTTGGGGTTTGACAGGTGGTTCTGTCCGAATTTCACCCGCAAGCATTTAGATTCTGTAGACTTTGGCAACACTGGTGATCAGGGCGGCGGTTGCAAGCCAGACTTCTGTCAATAGGAGGGTTCCGGGGCATTTATGTTGCGGTACACTGTTGGCATCGCCATCATGTGCGCAACTATCACCGACCCGCAGCAAGCGTCTCTCGCTCCCTGATCCGCAGATGTTGTGCTGCTTTGTCGTGCTCACATTCCCTTACAAGGGTGGGGGGGTAGTGGGGGTAGTGGGCATCATTGGTTGACAGAGTACCTGGAGTGGCGTCGCCTTTTCCGTGGGCAATATGTTCGAGAAGCGGCTCAGCCTCGCTTCACTACGCCAACGTCATTAAGACAACAGACAAGCAGTCGCCTCGCTTTCAGCAGCAGCAGCAGCAGCAGCAGCAGCAGCAGCAAAATCAGAATCAGAATCAGAATCAGAATGCGGCAGCAGAAGATTGCAGCATCAGCGTGCCGCAGCCAGCATGGAGCCTGTTGCCGACGTTGTCCGTGCTGTTATTTTGGTTCATTTGAAAATGAATATCTGGGAGCCTCTTTCAATGGCGCCTGCGAGTCGTTTTGAAACGGCCGTTCTCATCGGTTTCCTCGCAGGAACCTGGCAAAAATGCGGTCCGAAAGGGGCTGTGATGCCGCGAGATGGAATTTGCTCACACCCCATCCTTGCCCTTGACATCAGGATCTCTGTTCTTTCCTTCGCAATTCTAGCCCTACAGTGCTCTACACTCCCCAGCTACAGAAAGGCATGAAGAGCATTCACGCCGTATCGTGCACGCTTTGCGCAACTTCCTTAGCATCCACATCTACAATCTCCCATAGCATCCTTCAGGCGCTTTTGGAGAGGTTTGGGGACAGCGCTCAGACTCTGAAAGGCTTCTTAAATGTCTTCCCGAATTCTGAAATGATTACAAGCCTTATGGCGCCGGTTCTTGTCTTTTTCTTTCGCCTCTCCTTGCTGCCTCCTCGTTCTCCTCCTGCAGACGAGAGCTGCCCTCGCCGCGCCTCGCATCTCGTGCCTTCACCGCCTCTGTGTCACGTCTGTCACACGCATGTCACACTGAGATAGACTCAAGAGAGGAAGTGAATTCTCCAACTTCCTTTTCCTTTCCTGCAGGTTTTGAAGTTTGAGTGGCGGGCCTGCGGCTGCCAGAACGCCTCGGAAACCGACATCTGCGAATAAGCAGAGCGAAGACGAAGCCGCGAGGTAAGGAAGATGGAAGGAAAAGGGAAGCTTGAAACAAGGATATACATATATGTATACATACATATATAACTATATACATATGCAATCTATACGGAAGAGAGCATAGAGCTCTGCCTGCGGTCGCGCCGGCGACTGCGGCTCCTGGCATGTCAGTGGGAGTAATCATATCTTAACAAACAGAAGGCGCGTAGAGATTCGGAAGAAGTGCCGGTTCAAGTTTTCAACACGATTTCAAATTCGCGATCTTTCTCTCGTCTCTCCGTCTCCCTGCGCCTGCGCCGTGGGGAGGAAATGGAAGCGCTCCGGGACCGAGAGCGCTCCGAGCGGCCGGGCGCCTCTCGCACGTCAAATTCAAGCGAAGAGAATGAGAAAGCTCTCAGAGAAAAGGGTGCAAAAAGAGGAGGGCACAAAAGAACGAGGGAAGGGAGACAGTGCTCACTTCACTTGTTTTGAGAGAAACTTCCCCCCTGATTCGTGAACTCATACATGCTGCATGCTCGTATTTCTTTTTTGGGAGGCGTGGATCGGCTCTGTGTCGAAGGCGGTCCTCGGGTGGCGCCGCCTCGGCAAAAATGCAAAACCAACAAGCTGCAAATGTCTGCAGGTCCTTGAAGAGATTCGCGGGTCGGCAAAAAACAAGTTCGAGAGCCCCCGACTCGAGCGTCGCCGCCACCGGCCTGCACCGCATCTGCTACGCATGGGAAGAAACATTGTTGTGACCCGCTTAAAAAGGTCTGATGTTTACCAGGTTTACCATGTGAATTCTACTCGCGAGGTGACTGGGGGAAAGAAAGGGATCGGCATCGCCTTGCGCACTCGTCGTGCAATGGGCTGGTGGTTGGCGTTCAAGGCCACCTCTCAGCTTCACGAACATCAGACAACTCAAAATATTCGGACACCAAAAGACGGATTCAAAAGCCATCTTTTTCTCACGTACTTTCCAAGCTCACAAAACGCAAAAAAGGACATGCGTCTCCTCAGCTCTCCCCAGCCGGCACCTTGAAGTGCACGCCGTCGCTGACCTAGAGCAGAAGGAGGGAGCGCTCTTCTACACTGAGAGGAAGACAGGAAGAGGAGCCAAAAAGAAGCCAAATTGGAACGGAGAACAACTTAAGGAGAACGGGGAGGAGGGAGGCCCCGAAGCACCACAAGCGAAGCAAAGCGAAGCAAAGCGAAGCGAAGCGAAGCAAAGCGAAGCCGAAGGTAGGGGAAAGGTTGGCAAGGGCTGGAGTCGCTTGGGCCAAGCCGCGTTCAGGTCCACGAACTGGTCCCGGTGGATGACCACCTCGCACCGCCGCTCCCCCCGCAAAATTCTACTGCCAAAAAAAAGCTCTCTTTCTTGCTCTCTCTTTTTGTTCTTTCGTTCTTTCTTTTGTTCTCTCTCTCTCTCTCTTCTTCTTCTTCTTCTCTCAACTTGTCTGTCTTCTTCTTCTACTCAGCGAAGAGGCCCGCGAGAGGGGACCCCGGCCGCGCTGGCCCGCTGCGTCTGTCCCGTGTAAAACAGGGTGTAAAGGGCCCCCCGCGGGCTGGCAAGGTTCTAAGGTTCTCCGGCGTCTATGACCGGATCAGCAGCGCACATGCCGGAGGTGAGGGGGCTGATCGGTGAGGCGAGACGGTGTGCGCTGGGCCTTAGTAGGCTCGTGACGTTTGCCTTGTGTGGTATGAGTCAATTTGTACGAATGTACGAGATCTTGAGTGTCCTTGTGATCAATGCGAGCTTGTTCGGCATGTTCACATGGTGCGTGGGGTCATGCACATGAGCAATGGAAATGGAATGGGCAAGGGCAAGGGCAAGGGTAAGGCAAAACGGGTGTCATGAAGGATGCCGTGATGCAGGACCCGGAGCAGGAGTTTTTGAGATCTGTTGCTCAGGCGATGCCCGCTGCAGCTAGGGTGCGAATGCAGTCTCGTTTGGTTCAGGATGAGTGGGACGCGCCAGTGCGGATGTGGCAAGAGCTTGGTCCAGCGGGGGGCGTCGGATTATTCCCAAGGAATTCCTCCCGGAGGTGTTGGAGCGAATCGGTTATTCCTCAAAGCCTACGGCGGGATTGTTGACACAGCGTCCCGACGCAGTTGGTCTCCATGCGTATCCACGGATGAAGGTGCAATGTAGCATGGATGTTGATGCCGGAGGTGGGGAGCGAAAGGTGGTGGTTGTGGAGAGGTACTTGGTGCAACTTGGCTTCGCGCTACCGACGCCCACCTTCAAAAGACAGAGTGAAGGGCGGGTGGTGTTTCACCAAATGTGGTATGGTGGCTGTGTGAATCCGGGGTGGCATGGGCTTCTTCCTCGAAGGTGGAATACATTGATGCACATCCTGCACAGCAACCATGGCGATGATGAAATTTCATTACGGGTTTGCAACGTTGACGGTCTTCAAAAAGAAGGACGTTGGGAATTTATAGTTGACAACACAACACATTTTATGGCTTTGTCCGAGACACATGCCACAGCGTTCAATCAGAAGACGGTTGAGCGTCAAAACAAACATGAGGAGCATGCGGTCCTGTGGGGGCGCTCCAGTTCCAGATCGGCGGTACAAGTACAGTGGGTGGAATTTGTGTACAAGCGATCTGCTACGTGTGATGTCAGCGCAGTGAAGTTTCTCAGTTCGTCGCGCGAGCGTTTTCACCGTGATGGGCGGCTCATGTTGGTTCGGATTTTCGTCTTCGCAGCGGCGGTCCAAACTGGTGTATACTATATGGATGGTCGGGTGGACGCTGGGAGGCGCACAAAAAGAAGTACAACCAGGACTTACTTCGTGCAGTGCATGAGGACTCTACTCAAAGGGGCGACCTTCCCACCATCTTATGTGGAGACTTCAACTTGGAGGTCCAGGATGCGTTGGAGGAGTTTGCGCTGTTCCGAGATTCGCGCTGGGTTGATTCGGCTTCTTGGGGTCGTAATGGCTTTGATGCTCGCCCGACGTCGTTGAAGGGCAAAGGTTCACGCATTGATAAGGTGTATGTCAATCAGACTGCTGGCACTTTGATGCGAGGATGTGACCTTCGGGATGGGGTTCACGCGGAGGACCACAAGATGTTGGATGTACGGTTGGTTTTTCCACTGGCTTCGATGACGCTGTACATGAGCAAGTCAGTGGGTGGGCATTGTCAATATCAATCTCCTTCCAAAACTGATGCGGTGCAACATGTTCGTCATGATCCGGTGGTGGCGCGATGTTTGCGGGCCATGGACATTGAGGGGGCTTCTTCCGCATGGAGTCGCAGGGCGGAGAAGCTTCTGTGTACCATTCCGGTTGTTGGTGGTGGCACGGATGATGGTCATGGCCTCATGGCCGACGCAAGGTAGGTCTACGTCGGTTGCCTTTGTTTCCACCTGAACGCTAGAACGCTAGGCGGGAGCGGAAACAGTGTGGATGAGAAAGCTGGCCTTAAAGCGTTCCGGCGTGTTGAGGAGCTGGGCCGCATGTTTGTGTGGGGATATCGGGCTGACGTTGCTTTTCCTGCACGTGAAGAGCTTTGCCAAAGAAACGACCGGAGAGGGGCGAAGCTTGCGGAGCTTCTTGTCCAGGGACCTTAAGGATGCCGTCGTCGGGGGGTTCCAGTGAACGTCCCGGCGGTGAAGCAGGCCAGACTTCGAGCTCAGGAGATGCGGTCACTATTGCGGTCTTCATATCGTGAAGCTTTACAAAGTGGGTCTAAACACCCGCTCCGGCGATTACACCATATTACACCGTTGATCGAAATGAGCAACTCGATGACATGTTGGCAGTGTGGCGGCCCATCTTTGACAAGTTCCGGCACGGAAAGGCTGACGAGCAATGGTTCGTGGACCACTTTGGATCTTACATGCGTTCCTCAGCCATGCAGCTCGAAGACTTGACGGGCGTTTTTCCTCGCTACGGTGGCTCGTGAGACTTCCGCTAGCGCACCTAGTTTGGACATGTGGAAACCTGAGGCTTTGGCGGCGTTATTCGGCCAAGATGCCCCTCTTGGGCCCAACTTGAAACCTGGATTCGGCCAAGATCCCCCTCTTGGGCCCAACTTGAAACCTGGATTCGGCCAAGACGCCCCTCTTGGGCCCAACTTGAAACCTGGATTCGGCCAAGATGCCCTTCTTGGGCCCAACTTGAAATCTGGATTCGGCCAAGATGCCCCTCTTGGGCCCAACTTGAAACCTGGATTCGGCCAAGATGCCCCTCCTGGGCCCAACTTGAAACCTGCACTCGGCCAAGATGCACTCTTGGGCCCAACTTGAAACCTGGATTCGGCCAAGATGCCCCTCTTGGGCCCAACTTGAAACCTGGATTCGGCCAAGATGCTCCTCTTGGGCCCAACTTGAAGCCTGGATTCGGCCAAGACGCCCCTCTTGGTCTTGGGCCCAACTTGAAAGCTGCATTCGGCCAAGATGCCTTTGGGCCCAGCTTGAAACCTGGATTCGGCCAAGATGCCTCTTGGGCCCAACTTGAAACCTGGATTCGGCCAAGATGCCCCTTTTGGGCCCAACTTGAAACCTGGATTCGGCCAAGATGCCCCTCTTGGGCCCAACTTGAAACCTGGATTCGGCCAAGATGCCCCTCTTGGGCCCAACTTGAAACCTGGATTCGGCCAAGATGCCCCTCTTGGGCCCAACTTGAAACCTGGATTCGGCCAAGATGCCCCTCTTGGGCCCAACTTGAAACCTGGATTCGGCCAAGATGCCCCCTTGGGCCCAACTTGAAACCTGGATTCGGCCAAGATGCCCCTTCTTGGGCCCAACTTGAAACCTGGATTCGGCCAAGATGCCCCTCTTGGGCCCAACTTGAAACCTGGATTCGGCCAAGATGACTTGAAACCCCCCCTTGGGCCCAACTTGGGCCCAACTGGGCCCAACTGAAACCTGGATTCGGCCAAGATGCCCCTCTTGGGCCCAACTTGAAACCTGGATTCGGCCAAGATTCGGCCAAGATGCCCCTCTGGGGCCCAACTTGAAACCTGGATTCGGCCAAGATGCCCCTCTAAACCCCCAACTTGAAACTTGGATTCGGCCAAGAGCCCAACAATGCCCTCTTGAAACTTGGATTCGGGCAAGATGCCCCTCTTCCAACTTGAAACCTGGATTCGGCCAAGATCCCGGCCCAACTTGAAACCTGGATTCGGCCAAGATGCCCCTCTTGGGCCCAACTTGAAACCTGGATTCGGCCAAGATGCCCCTCTTGGGCCCAACTTGAAACCTGGATTCGGCCAAGATGCCCCTCTTGGGCCCAACTTGAAGCCTGGATTCGGCAAAGACGCCCCGGCCCAACTTGAAACCTGGATTCGGCCAAGATGCCCCTCTTGGGTCCAACTTGAAACCTGCATTCGGCCAAGATGCCCCTCGGGCCCCACTTGAAACCTGGATTCGGCCAAGATGCCCCTCTTGGGCCCAACTTGAAACTGGATTCGGCCAATTGGGCCCAACTTGAAACCTGGATTCGGCCAAGATGGCCCTCTTGGGCACAACCAAGATGCCTCTCTTGGGCCCAACTTGAAACCTGGATTCGGCCAAGATGCCCCTCTTGGGCCCATCTTGAAACCTGGATTCGGCCAAGGGCCCAACTTGAAACCTGGACTCGGCCAAGATGCCTCTTGGGCCCAACTTGAAACCTGGATTCGGCCAAGATGCCCCTCTTGGGCCCAATAAGAAACCTGGATTCGGCCAAAATGCCTCTCTTGGGCCCAACTTGAAACCAAGATGCCCCTCTTGGGCCCATCTTGAAACCTGGACTCGGCCAAGATGCCCCTCTTGGGCCCAACTTGAAACCTGGATTCGGCCAAGATGCCCCTCTTGGGCCCAACTTGAAACCTGGATTCGGCCAAGATGCCCCTCTTGGGCCCAACTTGAAACCTGGATTCGGCCAAGATTCGGCCAAGATGCCTCTCTTGGGCCCAACTTGAAACCAAGATGCCCCTCTTGGGCCCATCTTGAAACCTGGATTCGGCCAAGATGCCCCTCTTGGGCCCAACTTGAAACCTGGATTCGGCCAAGATGCCCCTCTTGGGCCCAACTTGAAACCTGGATTCGGCCAAGATGCAACTTGAAACCTGGATTCGGCCAAGATGCCTCTTGGGCCCAACTTGAAACCTGGATTCGGCCAAGATGCCCCTTTTGGGCCCAACTTGAAACCTGGATTCGGCCAAGATGCCCCTCTTGGGCCCAACTTGAAACCTGGATTCGGCCAAGATGCCCCTCTTGGGCCCAACTTGAAACCTGGATCTCCCAAAATGCCCCTCTTGGGCCCAACTTGAAACCTGCATTCGGCCAATGGGCCCAACTTGGCTTCCCCTCTCGGGCCCGACTTGAAACCTGCATTCGGCCAAGATGCCCCTCTTGGGCCCAACTTGAAACCTGGATTCGGCCAAGATGCCTCTCTTGGGCCCAACTTGAAACCAAGATGCCCCTCTTGGGCCCATCTTGAAACCTGGACTCGGCCAAGATGCCCCTCTTGGGCCCAACTTGAAACCTGGATTCGGCCAAGATGCCCCTCTTGGGCCCAACTTCAAACCTGGATTCGGCCAAGATGGATTCGGCCAAGATGCCCCTCTTGAACCCAACTTGAAACCTGGATTCGGCCAAGATGCCCCTCTTGGGCCCAACTTGAAACCTGGATTCGGTTTTTTGGGCCCAACTTGAAACCTGGATTCGGCCAAGATGCCCCTCTTGGGCCCAACTTGAAACCGGGATTCGGCCAAGATGCCCCTGTTGGGCCCAACTTGAAACCTGGATTCGGCCAACATGCCCTTGTTGGGCCCAACTTGAAACCTGGATTCGGCCAAGATGCCCCCGTTGGGCCCAAGAGAAGATGCCCCTCTTGGGCCCAACTTGAATCCAGGCCAAGATGCCCCTCTTGGGCCCAACTTGAAACCTGGATTCGTGCAAGATGCCCCCCAACCCCCAACCCCGCCCTTCCCGCTCCGCATACTTTCCCCTTGCCCAAGCCCCCCACGCATCCCGCCCTGGACCCATGGCTCCTGGTCCCCATTCTTCATGCCTTGAGCTGCTCCCACCCGCAACGCCCACCCCCACCCCCACCCCCACGCACCCACACTTCCAACCCCCACCCCCACCCCCCCACGCACCCCGCCCCCCACTGGACCCATGGCATTGGCTCATGGTTCACGGCCCATGGATGTGGCTTCTGAGCTGACTTTAAAGGCCCCAGTGCATGCCCGGGCCCTCCACCCGCTCCGCCCGCTCCTTCCAGCTCCGCCTATACCTCTTGGGCCCAACTTGAAACCTGGATTCGGCCAAGATGCCTCTCTTGGGCCCAACTTGAAACCAAGATGCCCCTCTTGGGCCCAACTTGAATTCGGCCAAGATGCCCCTGTTGGGCCTCTTGGGCCCAACTTGAAACCTGGATTCGGCCAAGATGCCCCTCTTGGGCCCAACTTGAAACCGGGATTCGGCCAAGATGCCCCTGTGGGGCCCAACTTGAAACCTGGATTCGGCCAACACGGCCCAACTTGAAACCTGGATTCGGCCAAGATGCCCCTGTTGAGCCTCTTGAGCCCAGCTTGAAACCTGGATTCGGCCAAGATGCCCCTCTTGGGCCCAACTTGAAACCTGGATTCGGCCAAGATGCCCTCTTCGGCCCAACTTGAAACCTGGATTCGGCCAAGATGCCCCTCTTGGCCCAACTTGAAGATGCCCCTCTTGGGCCCAACTTGAAACCTGGATTCGGCCAAGACGCCTCTCTTGGGCCCAACTTGAAACCAAGACCCAACTTGAAGGATGCCCCTCTTGGGCCCAACTTGAAACCTGGATTCGGCCAAGCTGCCCCTTTTGGGCCCAGCTTGAAACCTGGATTCGGCCAAGATGCCTCTTGGGCCCAGCTTGAAACCTGGATTCGGCCAAGATGCCCCTCTTGGGCCCAACTTGAAACATGGATTCGGCCAAGATGCCCCTCTTGGGCCCAACTTGAAACCTGGATTCGGCCAAGATGCCCTTCTTGCGCCCAACTTGAAACCTGGATTCGGCCAAGATGCACCTCTTGGGCCCAACTTGAAACCTGGATTCGGCCAAGATGCCCTTCTTGGGCCCAACTTGAAACCTGCACTCGGCCAAGATGCCCCTCTTGCGCCCAACTTGAAAGCCAAGATGCCCCTCTTGGGCCCAACTTGAAACCTGGATTCGGCCAAGATGCCCCTCTTGGGCCCAACTTCAAACCTGGATTCGGTTTTTTGGGCCCAACTTGAAACCTGGATTCGGCCAAGATGCCCCTCTTGGGCCCAACTTGAAACCCAAGATCCCCTGTTGGGCCCAACTTGAAACCTGGATTCGGCCAAGATGCCTTTTTGGGCCCAACTTGAAACCTGGATTCGGCCAAGATGCCCCTGTTGGGCCTTTTGGGCCCATCTTGAAACCTGGATTCGCCCAAGATGCCCCTCTTAGGCCCAACTTGAAACCTGGATTCGGCCTAGATGCCCCTCTTGGGCCCAACTTGAAACCTGGATTCGGCCAAGATGCCTGGATTCGGCCAAGACGCCCCTCTTGACCCCAACTTGAAACCTGGATCTCCCAAATGCCCCTCTTGGGCCCAACTTGAAACCTGCATTCGGCCAAGATTCCCTTGGGGCCCGACTTGAAAGCTGGATTCGGCCAAGATGCCCCTCTTGGGCCCAACTTGAAACCTGGATTCGGCCAAGATGCCCCTCTTGGGCCCAACTTGAAACCTGGATTCGCCCAAGATGCCCCTCTTGGGCCCAACTTGAAACCTGGATTCGGCCAAGATGCCCCTCTTGGGCCCAACTTGAAACCTGGATACGGCCAAGATGCCTGGATTCGGCCAAGACGCCCCTCTTGACCCCAACTTGAAACCTGGATCTCCCAAAATGCCCCTCTTGGGCCCAACTTGAAACATGGATTCGGCCAAGATGCCCCTCTTGGGCCCAACTTGAAACCTGGACTCGGCCAAGATGCCCCTCTTGGGCCCAACTTGAAACCTGGATTCGGCCAAGATGCCCCTCTTGGGCCCAACTTGAAACCTGGATTCGGCCAAGATGCCCTTCTTGGGCCCAACTTGATTCCTGGATTCGGCCAAGATGCCCCTCTTGGGCCCAACTTGAAAGCCAAGATGCCCCTCTTGGGCCCAACTTGAAACCTGGATTCGGCCAAGATGCCCCTCTTGGGCCCAACTTGAAACCTGGATTCGGCCAAGATGCCCCTCTTGGGCCCAACTTGAAACCTGGATTCTAACCCCAACCGCTTGGATGAGTTGGAAAGACGGCTGAATTTGCTTTACAACGCAGGTCAACACCTGCTTCAGTGGAACCGCAAGATAGGGAAGGAAAACAACACCACAGAAGAAGGCTGGATAGCATGTTTGCGCTGCAAGCGAAAGTGGCGCTGGAAGCACCGTGTGAACAACTTGGCAAAAACCCATTGCTCCAGCAAGTTGCATACTTGGATCCTGACTCTGTCAGGCTAAGACATTGCTATCCTGCTGGTGGTGTAAAAGACGTATCACTGGATATGACGGGCTGTGGTTTGCCCATAGGTGGTGTTGGTTAGGCTTGAATTGGCTTGGAGATGGGCTGCTGTGGGCGCCTCTTCTCCGACAAGCACCAACTTCTAGGCCCCCTCAGGTTTCAGCTGCACCAGGACACTGCCCATTCGTTTCGGCATCCAGCCACGTGTCCCCTCCCACCGGCTCCTCGTCCAACTGCGTCGCCGGCAGTGCCGTGTCTTGTTGGTCTCTCTCTCTCTCTCTCTCTTTCTTTCTTTCTTTCTTTCTTTCTTTCTTTCTTTGGGGCATGGAGGGAGACCCTCCGCGCGACAGCGCCTCTCTCTCTCTCTCCCTCCTTGTTCGTTCCTCTGTTTCCTCCTCTCCGTCCTGTTCGCGCGCCTCCTGGCCGTAGAGCTGCCGCGTCTGCGCGCAGCTCAGGAACCCGAAGCCCAGCTCCTCTCCGACAGAGAGGAGAGGAGGAGAGGTTGGGGAGAACAACCTCACAATCTTTGACTCACTCTCACTCAGAGCACCAGGGACGCAACACTAAGTGATGCAAACCGTCTGCTGCAGCGATTGTGCAGCGTCCAAAATTCTCAGAGGTTGGCTCTTCTTTATTCTGAAACCTGCACCCAATTCGAGGCCGCGGCGGGCTGGAAGCTGGTGACGAAGCCCAAGTACCTGAGAGCAAAGAAGAAAGCTCTCTTATCTGACATTTCGTCTGAGAGAGCGTGTTGAGAAGTGCGACTATGTCTCTCCAAGCTTGGCTCTCCGTTTCTGTGAGCGCGAGATTTGCTGCTGCCAATCATTGGGCGCCCCGGCTCTGCGTCTGACTCCGACGTCCCGGGGGTCGGCAGAGGAGCTTCGACCTGCACAGCAGCGCGCAAACACATCTCGTCTCTACTCTACATCTGCATGCAACGCATACAGATGCATGGCATTTATATCCTTGAAATGTAAGTTTATTCTGAATGTTCCGAGGACCTAATTTGATCAACACCCAAACTGCTGATCCAGATGAATCGTTACGGCAATTTGGGTGCTCGAGAGAGTGCAGGCGTCTGAATCGTGACCCTGCGCTCCTGGACTGATGTTCGGCTCTGAGGGGACAAAAGCTTCGCTGAAGATCTCGGGACTCTAGGAACTCGCAGGCACAACACTAGAGTCACTAGAGTATGTTGACATCTACGTTGCGTTGGCGAGGTGACCAATTGCCAAGTGCCCTTCCGGGTTGCTTTTTGTTGAACATATGTTGCATGTTACGTCTGTCACGTTGTTCCTGCGTTGAATGCTCACGGTTCTCAGGGGGGAGGAATGAGGGAGAGGAGTGCGTGTCAGACCGTGTCAGAGTTCAGGGCGTGGTGCTAGGTTGGGTCGCTTTCGCAAAAGCTTTCGCAAGCTAATTGGAATCGGTGGAGAGTTTTTTTTTCGCCCACGTGCTTCCAACAGCGCCTCCATGAGCCTCTGCCGCTCCTGGCGAAGAGAGAAGACAATGAGGGAGAGAAGAGGCGAAGAGACTCCCTGCCTCTCTCTCTCAAAAAATCTTTCGAAAGAGAAGGCCTTTCTTTTTTAAATGTATGAGAGAGAGAGAGAGAGAGAGTTGTTTCTCGTGCCCCAGTTGGGGGACCCGCTGAGTCGCTGCACTTGCGCACGTGGAAGCCGCGCTCTCCGAAGAGAAGCATCTCCCAACGCTTTTGAGCACTGCCCGGAGGAGGAGAGCACTAAGTAGACTTTTTAGGAGGGGAGAGCGAGAGAGGTCTGAGAGAATCCATCTCTTTTTGAGCCCTTTTTTGGCCCTGATATTTAGCCCTCCCCCCCTCCCTTGCATTTTTTGCTCTCCTGCGTCAGCGCCTCCAGCTTCCGAGCGAAGGAGACCTCGCGCAGAGTGGGCACGTTCATTGAGTGACCCCGTGACCCCCGTGACCCCTCACATTCCATTCCCCCCCCCCCCCCCCACAATTCCCCCCCGCAAATCTCCCCCCGACAAAGCTGCTCTCCTGCGGGATGCCCAGCTGGTTCTGCGACACTTTGAAGACCACGGAGTCGCCGATCTCGCGATTGGCGCGCTCTCCAGTCGCTCTCCAGTCGCTCTCCGGCTTCAACTCACTCTTAGTTCAACTCACTCTTAGCTGCTAGATCTTTTCCGAGTGGCCCCCAAAAACTTTTGTCTAAAGAGCGCCCACCTTGTTCTATTTCTTGGATGAGAGTGAAAGCCCCACCCACCCACTCCCCCTCTCCAAACTCTCACACGCAGAGCAGTGACTGCAAAACTCATTACGAAGAAGCCCCCCCCCCCCCCCCCCCCCGCCCGCCCCTGGCACGCGCCTTCAGGTTGCCAAGCTGGTCCTTCAGGATCTGGACCTTATTCAATAGGCTGCAGAAAAAGGGTCTGGGGGTCTGGCTCAGAAAGCACGTGCAACACCCAAAAGCCCAAGTCCAAGCACGTTGGTCGGGAGCTCGGCTGCCTTCCAGGAGTCGCAACCCCCAGAAATCCCCCAGTTTTCGTGCTGACGCAGATTCTCCTCTCCTTTCTCTGAAGCTCTGATCAGGGGGCCTGTATGGCCCCGATGAGGGCTGCGGAAGATTTGATCAGTCTGGCCACCACACCTCAGGTTCAGAACGGTGCAGGCAATGTGCGAAGGCAATGGCCACACGGCCACACGGCCACACGGCCACACGGCCACACGGCCACACGGCCACACGGCCACACCTTAGACCTCGCAGCTGACGAGCAAGGAAGCAGCATTGCTCGGGCGCGGCCATTGCACTGAGCGCCGCTGTCGTCTATTTTTCGATCGCGCCAGCACAGTGCCCAGACGCAGATGTGAGACACTAGCACACAAGTCCGTGCCTTGACCGCCGTTTGGCGGATGGGCACTCGACTTCACCTCGCCTTCAGGACCGGGTCGTCGATCTCGTTCACAACGTCCTGGCGAGCTGAGGCGTCTTGCGCAGTACTCGGAAATACGCAGAATGTGTGGGGGGGGGGGGTAGATTCGGGTAGCAGTGCGCCGAGCGCCGGTCCTTGCCCACTTCCATGGCCCGCTTCAGATCCTTGATCCGGATATCCCTCTCCCAGGAAGCGACCTCAGAACGGGTCAGAAAAACAGACAGAAAAAGAGAGAGAAAGAGAGAGAGAGAGAGAGAGAGAGAGAGAAAAAGAGAGAGAGAGAGAGAGAGAAAAAAAAAAAATCGAGAGGAGGGGCCGCAAAAACACAAAAACAGGCCCCCCGGCCAGTTCTCGGCCCTGCGAGGCCAGCCGCTGGCGCTCGTCTCGTCGAGCCTGCGTCCTGGGACCCGGACTGGCCAAAGAGGGGCTCAGCTCTTTGAGCTCTTTCAGCTGTTTCAGCTCTTTCAGCTCTTTCAGCTCCTTCAGCTCTTGCAGCTCTTGCAGCTCTTTCCAATTTGCTTTGGTTTCCTTTCCCTTGATATCATTGATGTCACAACTCGCCCCGTTTGCTGCGTGCCTGTGTATAGAGTAGGTACTCTCGTACAAGTATACACACCTTTGGAGCCAGCCAGGTGGTCATAAGCGCAAAGCATACCAAACCCCCGCCACAAAAATCCGCCGATCCCTAGGGGGGCGGCGTCAGTGAAGACCCATTGCCCCTACCACCTACTCCACCCCATCCAAAGCTCGACCGGCCCCCAGTGCATGCCCGCCCGCTTGCCCTACCCCCACCACCCACGCACCCCGCCCCCCGCTCCTTCCCTTGCCCAAGCCCCCCACGCACCCCGCCATGCTTCTCATGGACCCATGGCTCCTCCCAGTGCATGCCCGCCCGCTTGCCCTACCCCCACCACCCACGCACCCCGCCCCCCGCCCATCCGCCCTTCCCGCTCCGCATACTCCTTCCCTTGCCCAAGCCCCCCACGCACCCCGCCATGCTTCTCATGGACCCATGGCTCCTGGTCCCATTCTTCATCCCAAGCTCGACCGGCCCCCAGTGCATGGCCGCCCGCTTGCCCTACCCCCACCACCCACGCACCCCCGTCCATCCGCCCTTCCCGCTCCGCATACTCCCCCCCTTGCCCAAGCCCCCCACGCACCCCGCCATGGGCCCATGGCTCCTGGTCCCATTCTCATCCCTCCTATTTATGGCCCCTGCTCCACCCCCACCCCCAACCCCCACCCCCACCCCACCACACACCCCAACCCCCACCCACCGCCGCACCCTGCCACCCCCAACCCCCAACCCCCACCCCCACCCACCCACACTTCCAACCCCCACCCCCACCCCCCACGCACCCCGCCCCCCACTGGACCCATGGCTCCTGGCCCCATTGGCTCATGGTCCACGACCCATGGATGTGGCTTCTCAGCTGACTTTAAAGAGCCCCCAGTGCATGCCCGCCCGCTGCCCGCTCCGCCCTCCGCCCGCTTGCTCTACCCCCACCACCCACGCACCACCGTTCCCCGCCCATCCGCCCTTCCCGCTCTCCCCTTGCCCAAGCCCCCCACGCACCCCGCCATGCTTCTCATGGACCCATGGCTCCTGGTCCCATTCTTTATCCCTCGACCTGCATGGCTGCCAATGCTGGTCCTAGCATACTCCCCCCTTGCCCTCATGGACCCATGGCTCCTGGTCCCATTCTTCATCCCTCGACCTGCATGGCTGCCAATGCTGGTCAAAAAAATGGCCCCTGCTCCCACTCTCCCCTTGACCTACCCCTCATGGACCCAGCTCCCTACCCCTTACCCCTCACGCACCCTCCCCCACGCCCCCATGGACCCATGGGTCCTGGCCCCATGGCTCCCCTCCGCCCCGCCCCCCACCACCCACGCACCCGCTCCCACGCACCCTGCCCCGCCGCCCGTGCTTGTCATGGGCGCCTTGCTCCTGGCGTCCTGGCGTCACGGCTCCACCCCCACCCCCAACCCCCACCCCCACACACCCCACCCTTTCCACACTTCCAACCCCCACCCCCACCCCCCACGCACCCCGCCCCCCCACTGGACCCATGGCTCCTGGCCCCATTGGCTCCTGGTTCCATTCTTCATCCCTCGACCTGCAGGCTGCCAACGCTGGTCCCATGTATGGCCCCTCCACCCCAACCCCCAACCCCCACCCCCATCCCGTACGCACCCTGCCACCCCCAACCCCCTGACTTTGAAGGGCCCCAGTGCATGCCCGGGCCCTCCGCCCGCTCCGCCCGCTCCGCCCTCCACCCTTCCAGCTCCGCCTACTCCCGTCTGGCCCATGCTCCCACTCTCTTGACCTACCCCTCATGGACCCAGCTCCCTCCCCCTTCCCCATTCATTGTGGTCCACGGCCCAAGCAAATGGCTTCTCCGCCCCTCCCGCTCCGCATACTCCCTCCCTTGCCCAACCCCCCACGCCCCGCCATGCAAACCCATGGACCCATGGCTCCTGGTCCCATTCTTTCTCCCTCGACCTGCATGGCTGCCAATGCTGGTCCTAGCATACTCCCCCCTTGCCCACCCCCCCCACGCACCCCGCGATGCTTCTCATGGACCCATGGCTCCTGGTCCCATTCTTCATCCCTCGACCTGCATGGCTGCCAATGCTGGTCAAAAAAATGGCCCCTGCTCCACCCCCACCCCCAACCCCCACCCCCACCCCGCACGCACCCTGCCACCCCCAACCCCCAACCCCACCCCCACCCACCCACACTTCCAACCCCCACCCCCACCCCCCCACACACCCCCTCCCCCCATTGGCTCATGGTCCACAGCCCATGGATGTGGCTTCTCAGCTGACTTTAAAGGCGCACCCTGCATGCCCCTCATGGACCCATGGCTCCTGGCCCCCCTCCGCCCCTACCCCCACCACCCACGCACCGCTCGCCCTTCCCGCTCCGCATACATTCCCCTTGCCCAAGCCCCCCACGCACCCCGCCATGCTTTTCATGGACCCATGGCTCCTGGTCCTATTCTTCATCCCTTGAGCTGCTCCACCCCCACCCGCAACCCCCACCCCCACCCCGCACGCACCCTGCCCCGCCGCCCGTGCTTGTCATGGGCCCCTTGCTCCTGGCGTCATGGCTCCACCCCCACCCCCACCCCACCCTTTCCCCTTCCACCCCCACCCCCACCCCCACCCCCCACGCACCCCGCCCCCCCACTGGACCCATGGCTCCTGGCCCCATTGGCTCCTGGTCCCATTCTTCATCCCTCGACCTGCATGGCTGCCAATGCTGGTCCTAGAAATGGCCCCTGCTCCACCCCAACCCCCAACCCCCGCCCCCATACCGTACGCACCCTGCCACCCCCAACCCCCAACCCCCACCCCACCCACACTTCCACACCCCCCACGCACCCTGCCCCCCACTGAACCCATGGCTCCTGGCCGCATTGGCTCATGGTCCACGGCCCATGGATGTGGCTTCGCCTGAGGGCCCATGCTCCCACTCTCCATCCCCTTGACCTACCCCTCATGGACCCAGCTCCCTACCCCCAACCCCTCACGCACCCATGCCCCTCATGGACCCATGTCTCCTCCATGGCCCCATGGCTCCCCATTCATTATGGTCCACGGCCCAAGCAGCTACCCCCACCACCTCCACCCTTCCCGCTCCGCATTCCCTTGAGCCCCCCACGCACCCCGCCATGCTTCTCATAGTCTTCTCATGGACCCATGGCTCCTGGTCCCATTCTTCATCCCTCGACCTGCATGGCTGGCTCCTGGTCCCATTCTTCATCCCTCGACCTGCATGGCTGCCAGTGCTGGTCCGAAAAATGGCCCCTCACCCCCAACCCCCCCCACCCCGCACCCTGCCCCACCGCCCACGCTTGTCATGGACCCATGGCTCCTGGCCCCATGGCTCCACCCCCACCCCCAACCCCCACCCCCACCCCCACCCCCATGCTGGCTCCACCCCCACCCCCAACCCCCACCCCCACCCCCAACCGCCCCCACCCCCACCCCCCACGCACCCCGCCCCCCACTGGACCCATGGCTCCTGGCCCCATTGGCTCATGGTCCACGGCCTTAGCTGACTTTAAAGGGCCCCAGTGCATGCCCGCCCCCTCCGCCCACTGCCCGCTCCGCCCTCCGCCCTTCCAGCTCCGCCTACTCCCCCCTTGGCCCCTGCTCCCACTCTCCATCCCCTCGACCTCCCCCGCTTGGCCCGCTTGCTCTACCCCCACCACCCACGCACCCCGCCCCCCGCCCATCCGCCCTTCCCGCTCTCCCCTTGCCCCCACAGTGCCTTGGCCCCCCTTGGAGGGGGTCGGCGGCACTGGCGGTAGCCATTAAATCGGGCAGCGCGAGGTCCCCAAAGGACCGAGCAAATGCGGACCTTTTAGCCCGGGTCGTCCCGGGAATAGCCTTGCTGGCCTCTGGCCTTCTGCGAAGCAGAATTAGGCCGGACGCCAGTGCCGCCGCCCCCGCGTGCCGCCGGTGAACGGTTTTTTTTTCGTGGTTTTTTGCGTCGCCACGGAGGCCCCCAGAGGGCGCGCATCATGAGCATCAGCGGGTCCAGCCCGGGACCCCCAGGCGCGCATCAGGAGCATCAGCGGCTCCCGGGGCGGGACCCCGGGGGCGCATCAGGAGCATGATGCCCCCCAAAGGGCGGGCATAAGCGACGTGTCTAAGCCCGGGGCTAGGAAAAAGGGAGTTTAGGGGCCTTATAAAGTGCTTAGAAACGTTAAGGGAGTCTAGGAGCCTCAAACGCTTAGAGATTTGAAGGGAGTTTAGGGGCCTGAAAATGCTTAGAAACTTAACGCTCAGAGATTTTAAGGGAGTTTAGGGGCCTCAACATGCTTAGAAACTGCTCGCCCCGGGCTTCTGCGTGCGCTGCCCGCCCATGGGCGCAGCCCCTTAAAATATATGTACACACAAAAAAAGTACAACACACACACACACACACACACACACACACACACACACACACACACACACACACACACACACACACACACACACACACACACACACACACACACGCGCACGCGCACGCGCACGCGCACGCGCACGCGCACGCGCACCCGCACACGCGCACACGCACACACGCCCACACGCCCACACGCGCGCACGCACGCACACACCCACACACCCACACACACACACACACACACACACACACACACACACACACAAACACACACACACACACACACACACACACTCACACACCAGAACAGACAAGAACAGACAACACACAAACACAAACACAAACACAAACACAAACACAAACACAAACACACACACACACACACACACACAAACACCCACACACACACACACACACACACAAACACCCACACACACACACACACACACACACACACACACACACACACACACACACACACACACACACACACACACACACACACACACACGCGCGCGCGCGCGCGGACTCACTCACTCACTCACTCACTGACTCACTCAACTCACTCACTCACTCACGCACTCACGAGCACGCGCGCGCCAAAGCCGCGCCGACAGATCTCCGGGTCCCCGGGCGTGCGCTTCACATTATCCTTGTAGGAAGCCAATGCCATGTCCTCTCAATTAATGGCGTAAACGAGCACAACACAAGAGTCACAAGATATCACCACAGCACCACAGGAGTGCTGAATCGTGACAATGCCGCAGATATCACTAAAGTTTCTAGAGACGAGAGATGGGGGTCATGATGCTTCTTCAACTCCAGGTTCTGCAAGATCTTGTTGGTGGCCTTCGGTGGGCGTTCAAAGTTGCAATTCTCCTCCAGACAGCCTCATGATGCCTCATGAACCCTCATGGACCTGGATCCGGGTTTCGGGCCATTTGCTGGTCAAGCTCCATCCTCCAATGCTCCTTGCGCTGTCTTTCGTACCTCGGTGTGTTCAAATTCTAAGCTATACTGCAAAGCACACACTCAAGTCGCCGCTACCTGCAAACACTTAGCAGAGAAAGGCCCCCGGACTCTTCCACTTCGGGTAGAGAGATAAAGGTCTCGGTGAAGAGCGGGAACGAGTGGGAGGAGGCGGCCTCTGCACATCTCTGCACGTGCGCAACGTGCACGGGTCACGCGGAGCGCAAAGCTCGCGCCGTCTCGCGCCTCGATGTATTCTCTGCGCGCCTCTGCGCGTCGTGCCTGTAGGCATGAAATCACGAGAAAAACCTCAACTACAAGACGCCACCCCGGCCACCCCATCGGATGGCCTTGTTGTTCTCAATCTGCGCCAGGACCTGGCAACAGGGACAGCTTCTTGTTGAGGCTACTAAGTCGAGTTGAGCTGTGTGACTTCTCTCCGAGTTTCCTCTGGCCTGGGCCTGGTTCCTCTGGCACAGGTCCTTCTTCTGCAGGCGCTCGGTCGCCTCCTTTGAGAGACAAGGCGAGTGGCACCCAGTGGCACCCAGTGCAGCTGAATATGCCAATTTTCAAGTGCGACATAGTGCTGTAAGTTGTAGCAGAACCGCAGCCAAGGCACGTCGTTCATTCCACCCTGCACCGTCTGCTCCCAAACCTTGGCCTCAACCACGGCCTGACATGAGAGTGGGAATTGCTGCATGATGCGGCAGACGGGACACGGCAAGTCGAGAAGGCCGGGCCTTCTTTGCATCTTGTCGCAAGGATTCGAGGTAGCGTGTGAAAGCGGCATCCTCAAATGCTGCCCAGCAAAAGGAGTACCCGTGGGCAGCATGCGAACATTGGCGTTGCGCCCTCTCCTGCACTGCCTTCTGCTGCTGTTCAAGGGTTAGCCCCTCCTCCCTGGCAGCATGGCAGCAGCATCTCTGCATCACAAACATGAAAGGACGTGAAGTGCAGAGGTGAGCGAGGGGCAGCTCCCCAGATCCCAGGCGCCTACG